GTAACTTAACTCAGAAACTATCCCACCTATTCGGAAATCCTTATCGAGTTAGCTTCACTTCGTGCCTGAGCGGGGAAAGAAAGTCTAAGCGCACTGACTGAATTGATTGCAGCTCCCTCCGGAACGTTGCGGCTCTGCTCCGTCCCCTTCGCTTAAGTTGAGCTAAACCTGACAACCCACATCTGTAACTCTCAACTCCCACTCACACGTCTTGAATTGTTTTAATGCTCACGAGGATCAAAATGCAATGCAATATAAAAACGGAGTTGACACATCCATGCCCATGTCTCGGATCCGAACACGTACTTCCACCATGGAACGTGCAGTGAGTTCCTGGCCTGGATATCCGGAATAGCAAAACCCACCTTTTTTTTTTCTTTCGTCCCGCGTGATCTTTTGCAATCCCAGACAGATCTAAATTAAGAGCAGGGCTAGAATCTGCCGCAGAAGCTTGCGTTGCCTTCCATTCCTTTTAGATGTTGGTGGGGACCTTTATCATAATTGCACCTTACGGAGTACAGAGCAGGACAAGACAGGGTGAGGCGACACCTTACGAATCTAACTAACCCATCAGGGCATTCCGAAGTTCACGATTTTTGGCAACACCTCCATGGATCTATTGTTTCTGGCGACTTGCAGCGCCCACCTTTGTTTATTTTCTCAATTTCGGTCTGTCTTGGTCTCTCTCTTGACTTGATCTGAGCATTGACCATTCCACAACCACACCGAGGTAGGTAGTTTACTTCAACTCCACGATGAATCTCAATTTCGTGATACCCTCGACAGCAATTGTGTCCCCATCCAGCATATTCGAAGGTATTCACTCTTAACACACCCACAATAATAATTCGCCACAACCACGTAAATAGTCTTAATTTTTCTTCATCACAAGATTATCCAACTATCTGCTCATGAACTATATGATTGTTATTCTATCTATCAAAATACTTTAAAGAAGTTGCAAAGCTCAACACCATTCTCTTGGCTCGAATTCAGCTTAGTACTTAATTCTAAAAGGCACAAGAGCATCACCATCACCACACATCTAAAATCTGAAAGAGGTTTAATTTTTAATGGTTATGGTATTATGCAATAGATGTAGGCTTTTATGCTATACTAAAAATCAAAAGGTCAAACGCCGAGCTCCCATGCTCAAGGCTCAAGACGCGCTATGCCAAGTCAACACCCAAAAATAAGTCATTATAACGAAAGTCAAGACTTTTGTGGTCCTTTGCCCTCGCATTATTTTATTCGTCATCCTCTTCCTCATCCTCCTGGAGCCAGCCTCGGCTCATCTCAACGGCTCGCTCCCACCTCTTTCGTGATCGGCGGACAGTCTTCTTGTCAGTCTCGGGGTAGAAGATTTTGCGGCCCTTGCGGTTGACTTCATGCAGCTCCTCTAGTTCGTTCCAGACACCAGTGGCAAGACCCGCAGCAATGGCGGCGCCGAGTGCAGTAGTCTCACGCATAGCGGGGCGGTCGACAGGCACACCACTGAGATCGGCCTGGGTCTGCATGCAGAGGTCCGAATTGGAGAGGCCGCCATCCACGGCCAGAATGTCGAGGGCATGGCCAGAGTCAGATGCCATAGCATCAAGGATGGCCGCTGTTTGATGGCAGGTAGCCTCAAGAGTAGCTCGCACAATGTGGCCCTTGTTGGTGTGTTGGGTGACACCAAAGAGAGTACCCTTGGCATCATCGATCCAGTAAGGGGCGAAGAGACCACTGAAAGCTGTCACGAATGTAACACCGCCGTTGTCAGGGACAGTTTTGGCGACAGTATCCACCTCTGAGGAAGAGTTGATGATGCCGAGGTTGTTTTGGAGGAACTTGACACCAGAGCCAGCAACAGCAATGCTGCCCTCAAGAGCGTAGACAGGCTTGCGACCCTTTCCGAAGTCGTATGCAACAGTAGCAAGCAGACCGGTTTTGGAGATGACAGGCTCGTTGCCAACGTTGTAGAGAAGGAAGCAGCCAGTGCCGTAGGTGTTCTTGGCCTGGCCAGGCTTGAATCCACATTGGCCGACAAGTGCTGAAGACTGGTCTCCCAAGCAGCCAGCAATGGGGATACCCTTGAGAGGCCCACGGGCGAGAGATCCATAGGCAGTGGGGTCGGAGGAAGGAACAATCTTGGGCAGGTTGAGCTTAGTGCGGTCGACCTCAAAGAACTTGAGGAGCTCATCATCGTACTGGAGGGTCTTGAGGTTCATGAACATGGTGCGGCTGGCGTTGGTAGCATCGGTGACAAAGATGGGTCCGCCCTCGCGGTCTTGTCCACCGTTAAGCTTGTAGATGAGCCAAGAGTCAACAGTGCCAAATGATAGGCGGCCCTCATCGTAGGCCTTTCGGACTGATTCAACGTTCTGAAGGACCCAGAGCAGCTTGACACTTGAAGGGTAGGTAGAGAGTGGGAGACCACAAGTTTCTTGGAGCTTCTCAGCACCAGGCTTGTTCTTGAGCTCACGGACGAGAGCAGAAGTGCGAGTGTCTGGCCAGACAACGGCGTTGTAAAGGGGCTCGCCAGTAATGTTGTCCCAGAGAATAGTAGTCTCACGTTGATTTGTGATGCCGATGGAGCGGATATCCTCGATATGGTGACCCTTTTCACAGAACTTCTCAGTTGCCTTCTCGATACATGTTTCTACAGACTCGAGGAGGGTCATGGGGTCATGCTCGTGCCATCCGGAATTGGGATAGTGGTTCTTGAACTCAATCTGGTGGCTCACGATGGGCTCTCCATGGCCATTGAAGATGAGGAAGCGAGTTGATGTGGTGCCCTGGTCGACACTACCGACGAACCAGTGTTTTTGCTTCTCCTCTGCAGTCTCTTCGATACCTTGGGGGAGTTGCTCGTGGTCTGACTCAGGCTTGACGGAGAAGAAGTCTCCTGCGAGGTCTGCTGCCTCGGCAGCCTTGAGAAGACCTTGTGGTAATTGCTCCTCAAGGAGGATATCAGCAGTTCGTGGGCGCTTAGACTTTGGTTCTTGCTCGATGAAGTCCTTGGGGTTTATATCATCGAAATTGTCCTGCACCATGCGAGGGGGTGCGTCGGCTGTTGTGAATTGCATCCTTGCACACGATGTGGTTGAGAAGGAGTTTATGAGTTTGTGATTTGTGATATCGTGGCAAGGGGGCCGTCCCTAGCAAGTATAGTTGTGTTTCTGCAAAGGATGTGGCGTAGTGTGTAACCCTTTATGGCTGTTGGTAGGTGGAAGGAGTCGTTGCCAAGGAGGTAGATGGTTGTGATATATATAAATAGGAGAAGTGGCTGTTGATATAGATTTAGATCGGAGGAGAGGATGCTTGATGAGTGATGGAGAATGAAGAATGGGAGATGAAGAGAATGGACATTGAGGGGAGGATGTCGGCCTTGATAAATGCTTGAGAATCGAGGGGGAACAAGGGGAAGGTGGGGGAAAAGAGCGGAGGGAAGGCCGGAGGAGGGCTCGGGATTCCATTGTGAGTTAGACGGAAGGCACAAGACACGGGGACGGGGGATGGCGCCAAACGTCTGGAGTCAAAGTTTGGTAAGGGTCGGTAGGGTAAGGTAGGGCAGGCGCAACTGACAGGCACATGTGCAATGCTGACGAGTTGCCAATGCTAAACTAACGCCCACGCCCAGGTCCGGATAGGGAAGGAGAGCGGGGTGCTTTGGTTGGGGATGCTGGGATGTTGCTGTATGCTGTGCCTCGCTGTAAGTTGACTGAGACTGCCGGGGAGATCGATCGCCGGAGACGAGTTCAGAAGCAGGTTTGATTTTCGGCCGGCTACTGCCATCATAAAGTGGACCATTGCTTGAGATACCCCAACCCCACTTTGCAGGTCAGGCGGACTCCATGCGGAGCCCCGGCTTCGGGGCACGTTCAGCGGGACACTGAAGGAATTACTGACCAAGCCCAAAAGCCCACCTTGGGGAAATTGAATCTTGGATCATGAGGGCAGACTGAGATTAAGCTTACGAAGACGTAGAACACACTCGGAGCTTTCTGAAGAACCAAATTCTATATCTTAAATCCTAAAATAGCATAAGCTGTATCCCATTTAACCAAAGCAGTAACCCGCCAGAGTTTCTTTCACTCATTAATGACTCCCGGAAACCTTTTTGAAGGGGTGGGACCCACAGAGTCCAGACTCTTGGAGGGTGGGCGTTGGTGAACGCCTGCTGGAGGCTCAATTCAGTGACGTTCAGTTGACTCCCCCCCTGGTTGGTGGACTTTCTGTACCCGCCCCCAATTGGTACTGCTCCCACCCCCAATGGCTTCTTTTTTAGTTATGGCTACCCAAATTCTTCAATATTGGGGGACATTTTATCTATCTGTAGTCGGAAAAGCCAACTTCATGGGCTGGATTTGTTCCTGACAGCACATGGTTACCAGAGATCTAATCCTGGCTATAGATTTTGGGCCAATGCGCTGTGCAGAAAAGAGTGCAGTCTTTCCCAGAATGGATAAGCGACTGGCCCGGGATTGCTCTAAAGAGTCGAGACACATTTGGGTCTTAAAAATGCATGCAACATGTCATGGGTAACTGCATTTTCTTCACTGCCCTTGCTTTTCAATTTTTACTAGCCTTTCAAAGGGTTCCGCAATTGTTGCTTCTGCTCTCCTTTACTCCTTCCTCCGGACATAATCGCCCGTGGGATTAAACCGGTTTTGAAAACAGTGGCGTTACACGTCACAGATGAGGCAAGTGCGGTGCTTTGAGCCGCATGGGAAGTGGCTGATCATGATCGAAACCTCGTCGATGCACATATTTGAAGATCGCAAGTGCATCGAGATTCTGGAAATTTCAGCGGCTCTGGACCCTTATTTCTGTGTGGGAATAAACGTCACTTCTTAACGTCACTTTAGAGCCTCCGACCTCTGAGAGAACATCATCCTTCTCCAGAATCCACATTTCAGCAAATCCACTCCTGGGCATGGCTATGACACAACGCTTTGGCTCATAAAACCAATGACGTTACACGCTTTTCTTCAAAGGCGGGACTGACTCCAGTCAATATGCAACCAAACGACAATCGTCAACTATCAATGTGAGTTAAATGCGATCGTCCCGGCTTTATGATTTCATTCCTAGTCCTTACATATGTCGATCAGGCCCGACTCTTCGGAGCGGTCATTGAAACGTCACTTATCCCAGAGCCAGGGCTCTAACGTGGGTAACATTAAACGTCAACGCATTTCTATCGACAAATCACCTCTACAGCTCAGCTATAGTGACGTTGTCCAAACTCCCGGGTCTAATTTTACCCTTGTTGATAATCCTCAATCGACCAACGCCGACACAATTGCTTCTTCATACACCTCGCTGGACCCCTCTCCACGAGAACCCCAAGACCCTTATGACGACCCTTACGATGATCCAGACTTCGATCAAATGTTTGAGAGCCTCACTAGACCCAGTTCTATTGACAAGCCAGGAACGTCACCGCTTTTAGTCGACACTAATGAATTTGCTCTGAAACAGTTGGACCAGGATGCTTTGGCGGAGTTTCTGGAGGAAGAAACCTAGGAAGAGCCTCAACAACCACCATCGAGCGTTCTGCGTACATGGAGCCGAAACTCGAGATCAGCGGATGAGTATGACCCGCTATTGCAATACTCTTCACCGCGCCCAATACCTGATATACCAGAGGGCAGCGTCGGATATACACCTTTGCATGAAGGTATAGACTGGAGCTCCGTCCAAGAACACACCCGCAATGAGCCAAAACCTGGATCGACAGCCGGTTTTACAACTGTGAACAGGAGCAAAGCCCCCGAATATGAATCACCGATAGCTACACGAAAAACATTAACCTTTTCACAATCTCGATCATCAGCACCCACAAGTAGCCAGAGCTCAGCAATATTTACTGGAAAAGTATTGCTGAAACCTTTCAAAACGTTCTTCGATCTCCGAGAACTTTTAGATGCAAAAACTCAAATGTTCCGAAACCAACCTGACGTTATCTTCGAACTCTTCGCTCGAGTCATCTATTCAAGCCGCGAAAACTTTTACAAGAAACAGTATTTTCGATTTCAAAGCCTACTCAAAAATAATCCGCCTTATATAAACGGGGCTCTTCTGGCTTAGGAGGTAGGGAGTCCACTTGACTGCGCGGCTCAGGAGCTACTGAAGGCGCAATCGTTACGTACGAAATGCTTTTGTCGATGCAAGTTGCGATCGGATTCTAGGTCGGAGATCGGTTGGGGTATCACTGTGCTGGAGATCCGCACGACAATCTGGAAGGAAATTCAGGGGGTGATGGACGCGCTTGGGAGAAAGGATCTGGACGAACCAGGGAATTTGAGTGGGATTGATGACGGAGTTTGCTATAACGATAATTATTATCGATTTTGTGGGATACAGACAACAACGTCACGTCCCGTTGCTATATAAACGAATGAGGCACCACGAGAACCAATGCCATTAAGATTCTTCTAAAGTCTATCTATTCGTATGTCTAGTTTTACCCTTGCGATCCTCTATGAACGGGTACAGACAACAGAAACATTCAGTGTACCCTGAAGTAACTGGAAATCCTCTAATGGCCCTCAGGAACTGGAAACTCATGGACCTCAAACATCCAGAAGCCAGAGATTAATCTTCTGAAGACTAAGTCTATACTTGTATAGCCTTCTGGTCAACTGACGACGGGCGATGCGTTGTGAAAGGAGATCTCTTCATGCGCTATCCCGGCCCCAGTCGTAACAAGGTCCTCAGACATCTAGTTTGGCACTACGAGATTCAGATAAGGAGCCATCTGCTTCTGCGCAGCAGATTTGATCTGTCGAAGCTCTGTCAGAGAAGGAGGCTTGGTATCTCCCTGGCGTCGCTGCCAGCTCTCCTGTGTCTCGAGGAGCGCAGCGTCTTCGTCTTTGCCGGTAGGGTCGACAAACTGGTATGAACGATACTCACAGTTTGACCAACCGGTAGCTATTAATCACAGTCAGAGACCTGATGAACAATGACTTCTCAGTGGCTGCTACTTACCTCTCTCTTCAGGCACACCGTACCAGTCATCTGTCAAGAAATGCAAGAATCCTCCGTGGGAGACGACAACAATGTGTTCGTCGCCACTCACACGATCCCTCAATATCTTTCTGGCCTTAAGTCCACGAGCCGTCGTCTTCTCTAGTGTAGGCTCATACTCACTCCCAGGACCCTTATCAGTCCACGAGTCCTCTACGTTCGAGTAGTCAGCGATTCCCTCGAATTCAGCCTTGACCTTGGCCACGGGCGAACCAATATCGCAGGGGTTGGCTGAGACCTCCTGAAACTCAGGAAATGTGACAATGGGCTTGAGCTCATCGGTTCCGAACGCGTGGAGACAGGTATACACCGTACGGCGCATGGGTGAGGCAAAAAGCTTTGTAAGCTTGTCATGGTAAGGGAACTCCTTGCGAAGTGCAGCGCATTGCTCCTCGCCAAGGGGAGTCAAATCTGGGTCTTGCAATTGCTCATTCTCGATCGAGAGGTTGTGGAAGCCTTGAGCGTGGCGAACGAGGTGGATAGTTGGAGCCATTATGATGTTGATGTGAAGAGCGTGTGAGATTTGTATGAGTGATATATGATATCTTGGTGAGATAAGGACAGAGACGATGTCTAAGAAGAAACTGAAGGAGAAGCTGGTTCTATTTAAGGGAGGAAATAATGATTCGTACGATAATAAAACGAGGAACAAAGAAACATGTTTGTAAGGAGCTATGACTCAATACCCCTCCTCCTCCCGTGGTAGCCCCGCCAAAGCCGGTGTCATGATCTCCGGGTCCGGCTTCGTCAGCGGAGCCCAGCGTTCAATGTGAGCGGCGTGCGCGGCCGTTGAACGCCGATTGGTCTCCGATCTGCAGTAGCTTACACCGCCGCCACGGAATGTTTGGTGTTGGCTCGCCTCGATTGCCTGATTTGTATACTCCGACTCGGCTTGTTGGCTACAGCAGCAGATGATTCCAGAAATTCTTTGATTCACCAACAAAGAGAGCCTCTAGGCGTCAGAAGACTTAAAAACTTACATCAGGGCGAGAAAATAAACTGGTCAAAGAGCAAGCTAAGTTCATCATAAACTACCCTAAGATACCCTAATACTATCTAAGCCTTATTGTCACTTAGGACTTTAGTCTGAAGTTTTCTGCCACCCCCTAGGAGAGCCAGAAATCGGCAATCTGAACATGATCGGTCTTGTCACGTCTACACAAACAATCAAACCATCTTGATGGGCTATTGTCCCTCCTTACAGATTCCATTTCACGAGAATATGTGCATGTTGCGCCAAAGTAGGTAAAGATATCACAGTTTCAGTATCTTAACTACCAGCACATATGATTACGCCCATTCATGTGTCCAAGAGTACATCCATTCTGATCTTCTAAAACTGACAACCCGGTGAACGCCATTTCTTGACCAACTGTATTAGTCAAACACCAGATACAACACATACGCAAGACCAATTATGCCGTCCATCTCCAAATCTAAAACTCAATGAGAGCCTCCTCTTTGACAGGCTGCTTGACAGGCTCCTGTTGTGGTACTGAGGGAAATGAGTCTTGCGTGTAACCGCCGTATGCCCAGTTCTGCGGCGCGGCTGGTGGTTGTTGGTGTGACTGGGGCATAGATGGTTGCCAGTATGCTTGCTGCTGTGGGGGAGGCGCTTGCTGAGTTGGTTGGGGCGGCTGAGGCTGAGATGGTTGAGGCGGTTGGGCATGTTGCATATGAGGGGACTGCACAGGTTGCGCAACTTGAGCGGGTGTTTGGCCCGGTGTTGGCTGTGAGGGAGCAGACACTGATCCCCCGGGATATTGGGAAGGCTGCTGCAAGTTAGGGTATGGTGACTGATTAGCATCAGGCGCAGATCCTGGTGCAGATGGTCCTAGAGGGGCCTGCTGAGGTTGCTGGGGTGTGAAATAGTACGAGGCACTGGGGTCACTGGCATTTGGAGCCTGTGGCTGCTGTGGGTTTTGTGTTTGCTGGTTGGGATCGTGAGGTTGTTGCGGCTGCTGGTACGGATCTTGAGGTGCTGAGGGTGCCCTGTTTTGCCAACTATCGGTCCGTTGCACTTGCTGAGGAGGAGGGTATTGGCCGGGCTGTGCTTCCGGCGCAGATCCATAAGAAGGATATTGGGGCTGAGGTGTTGCATGTGATGGTGGTTGTTGGTAGTGCTGGTGTTGAGGAGGCGCCTGGTAGCTGGCTCGTTGTTGACCTGTATAAAAGCTCTCTGCACCAGCAAGGTTGCTGGGCATCTGGGAAGGGATTGAAGGATAAGGTCCAGCAGCCTGGCGAGGGGGCGGCAAGTTATACCCCCCAAGGTTCTGTTGGCTATAGGCCTTGGAAAGTCGATCCTCTAGCATACGATCATAATATCGAACAACTGTAGAGAGTTTCGCATGAAGATCAAGAAGTGTATCTGAAGCTGGATTAGTATCTACATTAGGTCAGTAGAGAAACATTACTCACCATGCTTGCTCATAGTCTCTCCGTAAGTTCTTGCCAGCTTGGGTCGTAATGTACCGATGCTATCATAGAGCTCCTGGATCTGTGGCTCTCGTAAAATGGTTCCTGGTGGCTGAGTCTGAAGCCGGTCCACCAGTGTTGAGAACAAGTTGATGTTCTCTGCCTCCACAGGAGTCAATTCATAATCATTCTTGGGGAGAATAAAGTTGGTGGTAGCAGAAGTGTCCATAGAGCTGGAGGTCTGTTCCTTGAGCGCCGCAGCGTGCCTCTTCTTCTGCTCTTCCATATCAGCCAGAGAGGCGGCAATGGCGGCCTTGAGGTCATCATCATCCTCCTCTGCCTGTTTGGCTGCCGAAGCGTCCCCATTGGTTGCATAAGAAGTTTGAGCAGGCCCAGCATAACCGTGAGACTGGGTCTTAACCTCCTCCAAGCTCATTGCCAATGCCTTCTTCAAATCTTCGTCAAATCCATCATCAACTCGGGCGTTTCGGGGCTGCATGGCGGAGGTGCTTCGTGTCTTATGAGGATATGTCGGCGATCGATCGAGTGATGGGTTGGGGATTTTATGTCCCTTATTGGTAAGTTTCGCATAACAACCATCATCGACTCGTACGGGTGTCATGATTCCCAGGTGTGGGAGAGCGACGACCTTGGCCGAACACTGCTGGTCGAAACAGTTACCGCAGTTTCGGCAATGATGCTTTCGGTTTGTAAAAGTGAAGGGTGTTCGACATCTCATGCATACGTCGGAGTCGGTCCATTCCGGAGGCTGAGGATATCGTTAGTTGTCTCCAGTGTATGACGAGTAGTAGTACTTACAGCGCTACTGTCAATCATGCTACTGGCCACGGATATCTTGGGAGGGAACTGATACCCATCGCGTTGCAGGGTTCGATAAACCTCGCCGATGTACGAAAGCTCGTATCGACCTTCAGTAGCACCCGCCCAAGATTGTATAAGCTCAAGGATTTTGTTTTTAACGTCAGCATTGACAGCACCTCCTCCTACGGCCTGAAGAAGCGAAACAAGATTATCCATAAACTCTCGCGATGCGACTTCAGCAAGGAAATGTGAACCGCCATTTTTGACGCAAGTATCGGTGAGCTGAAAGGAGTCAGCTTTAATAATTGTTATGATGCCGATAGGATTCATACGTTCAAAGCGCTCAACTGTGTATTAGGGTTTTTGTTGCCGATGCGTTTCTTGAGGGAGCGCATTGCCTCTTTCGGCGCGACCGTCTTGGATCTGATGACATCGGAGATTTCGAGGTTAAGGGCAATGTCTTCGCTGGAACTATTGTTAGCTGAGTCTTCTGGGGCGTAGGTTGTCCGGCGACATACAGGCTGCTGCTTGTGGCCTTCTCGATCTGTTCGTCCAGGGCCGTATTGGCGGAGGACGACCACCAACTCATCATCTTGGCTTTGGCTACAGCGATCAGCAAAGAGGAGGGGTATTGCGCTCAGTTGACCAAATGAATCAGAACCAGAAGTGTCAGAAATGGGGTCTCTGAGGCGACGACGCACAAGGTCAAGAGATTCGATGAGGCAGATGCTGTTGTTTATGTTGATGTCTGATGGAGGTTCAGTCAGTACCAACGAAGCTTCCATGCTCTAGGCTCTCGTTAACCCCAGCCTCTGTCTGGGCGCGGTGATTGAGGATCTGACGCAGAAAGGTGCCTCATTGAGTAAGGTTATGAGAGCTGTGATTGGCTGAGTAGCATTGATTCCACAACAGTGTACTTCGAGGCAGCCTAAAACCCCACTGTAGAATGCCTGGACTGTCGTCAGCACTGGCACGCGGTCACGCTAAGCTCTTGTTCTGTGGGAGAATGACGACGTACTCTGTGGCGTACGTGGCTCAGGTGCATGAACGACCTCGAACAGAGAAGCTTTGGTACGAAAAGAGCGGTATCCAGTACTTGCTGTTGACGGCTAATCATATGGCCTATCAAGTACCCCAGATGCTCTCATGGGTACTTTATTCCCCGCGACTACTAACACCTCACCTCATGGCACCCAAGTCACCCATGAACAACCGTCCTTTATACCAAGTTCATTCTCCCGATAACACAACCCCTCTCGTCCGGTGTCCCATGGTTCTTGTTGGGGAGCCTTGGTTTGTCATGTTTACTCGCGCGATCTTCTAAGATGCTGCACATTGATGCCATCTCTACTCGGTCGAGGTGTTGTTGACCCTTATTAAATACTCCGCCACTCTACGGTTCGTCGTCGTTGTCACAGATATTCATTGCAACCTTTCCGCCGAACCCTAATCTCACAACTTTAAACACTACAACTACCTTCGATTCTCGAATTCGAACCTGCCGACCGAGACTTTCCAGTGTAACGACTTCAGAACACTGAGCAAGCCATCATGGCTTCTCTAGGACATTCGCGCGCAAGCAGTGTGGCCACCGTAGGCTCACACTCCTTGGGCAGCCCAGGCGCATTCAACCATGGCTCAATACCAGGCGGTAATCGAGGAGGCGAATCTCCTTCGAAGGCTCCGATCCCTCACATTGACGATGTTCTTGCTGCGCGGAATCTCGACCGGAACGTGTCTGCTAGGAAACTGCTAGAATCGGCCGAGGCATCATTCAAGCAAGCAGAGGTAGCTCGAGAGTTTCGCAGACCAGCTACCGCTCTTAACGAATATATACGAGCATCCATAATCGCTGTCCAATTCATCACCAACCATCCGGAGTATCATGATCTCAAAAATAGCCACGGGGATTTTGTAAAAGCTCATAACAACCTGCTCGCCAAGATCAGCCAACAGGACCATATATATGCCAAGATTAAGGCCGACATCATTGCAGATAACAAGCGATCTGGTGTGCAGCCACGGGCTGCTCGGCCGAACTCGTCACAAGGAGGAAGTCGGCCACAGACACCATCAAAGTCGACAGTCGAAGGGCCTATATCACCATCAAAGCATCGATTTGATGTGCCTGGCACAAATGGTTCTCCTGCTCGAGCAAAACCAGCAATTCAACCAAAACCCCAATCCCTTCATGGGAATGCCATCAAGCCCGGTGCTCAAAGAGCATCCATTAATGGCGTCCAAGATCTCGCTGCCAGGTTTGCCAACCTGAGAGGCCCGCAACCTTCACCAGGTCAAGATCCACGCATCAAGACACATCAAATAACACTCCCAAAGCCGATGGGTCCCAGAGAGATGCCCCCGCCTCGACCGCCCAAGGTTGGTATTGACACCAGTGTGCCGACTCTACCCAAGATGCCAGATGCTATCTACAGCCCTGCTCGTGGAAGCATTTCAGGAGAAGTAACAAGACCGCCTTCGAGCACACCTCGTAGCATGTATAATCGCACTGCCTCCACCGTTTCGATACCAGGAACTCCGACAGGCTCCTCGCAGTCACAAACAGAGTATTTCGTTCCTACGCAAAGTTATTCGAACAACTCCATCCCTCCGGTTCCTCCAAGTAATCTCACCGGCTCTGTAAAGATTCCAGAAGGCGATGCCATTTCTCCGGAGGAATTGTACCAAGCTATGAAAGCTAAGGGGGGTATCTTGATAATAGACATTCGTATGAGGGATGATTTCAACGAAGGCCATATCATGTCGTCGTCAACAATTTGTATTGAGCCTAGCATCTTGCTTAGGGACAACCTCTCTGCGGATGAGATTTCCGAGAGCTTGATTCTCTCACCTAACCAGGAGCAGTCGCTTTTCGAACAACGGCATACCTACGACCTGGTAGTTTTCTACGATCAAGATTCTGAAGAAATTCCCGAACACCCACGAAATTCGGACGATTTGGTCATTATATCACTCCATCGAGCTTTAGTTCACTTCAACTTTATGAAGGACCTCAAAAACACCCCCAAGATTCTCAAGGGAGGTCTTGATGCATGGGTTGACTTGATGGGGCCGGCGTCTCTAGGATCGACTACTTCAACAGCGAATAGAGCGGTTCACTTGGAGCGCAATCGAAGTCGGTTATCAGCTATCGAGCGGCGGAGGTCTAAATATATTGCCAAGCCTCTCAAACCTGATGAAGTCAAGGTGTGGCAAGAGACGCTCAAAAACGACGACGATATGCAAACAGCATCATCACCCAACTTCACTCGCACCACCGAGGACTTCCTTCGAAGATTCCCGCCAGTCTCTTTGGAACAAGAGTCGATGACTTCTCCGGAAGATAAGCCCCGGAATCGCCCCGTTTACGGGTTATCTCACAAGGTCGACCTCTACACAGACTTGCCCTCACCACCCACGAGGCCAGCTCCCGCTTTACCGCGACGAAGCTACAGCGGCCTCACCGAGGGGAGGGACGAAAACGAGCTTTATGGCAACAATAACGCAGTTGTGCCGGCTCGCCCTTCAAGAGCGCCAACGATGAAGACCATGGAGCACCAACCCACAGGCGATTCGGCCAAATTCTACACTGGGCTCAATAATCCCAACAACTGGTGCTATGCCAACAGCACACTGCAGAGCCTGCTCGCTTCACCTGAGTTCGGAAGGGTACTGGCAAATTCGGAATGGGTCAACAAATACAAGGCACCGATGAAAGATGACGAGAAGATTGAGCAACCGCAGCTCATGATCCGTATTATCTCGAACCTGTTCCACTGGATGAGTTCAGGCAAATTTCAGGTCATGATGGCCCAGACACTCATGGTAAGTTGATCACAAAATATTAGACAAGAAGACCCAAGCTAACAGAACTATAGAATTACTCGCATCATGTTTGTACCCAAAGCCGAAGCATTGAGCAGTTCGGCGGAAGTCAGCAGCAAGATGCCCAGGAGTTTATGTCTTTCGTGCTCACTCACCTGCATGACGAAACTAATACACGTCGAGATCGAAAGGGCACTGCTGCCCAGCCGGATACCAAGCATCAGTCTCTTGTAAAGGCTGGGGTCCAGTACTGGCAAAATCACCTCGAATACAATCGATCCATCGTCGACCGCTACTGGCGCGGTCTCGAGCTATCAACTGTCGAGTGCTTCGAGTGTCACACCCGCACTTATCAGTTCAACCCTATTGATGTTGTCGCTGTCACAGTGGGCATGGGCCGTGGCATGACTCTCGAGCAGGTCCTCGACCAGTATACATCAGGGAACATCATTAACGACTTCCATTGCGACCACTGCCGCCATCCTACCCGGGCTCAGCAGAGTCTCTCCTTTGCCCGCTTTCCATCCTTGCTTTGCGTCGTCTTCCGACGTTTCCACTACCAACATGGTTCTTCAGATTTGCGCAAATCAACGGCACCCATCACATGGGATTTCAACGACACCGACTTCACACGCTACTTCCTCCCTCCTGGCTCTCGCGAGTCTTCATCTGGATTCGATCCCATGGACCCTGCCTTCACAGGGCCTTTCCGCTACGAGGCTTATGCTGTTATTGTTCATACAGGCAGTCGTACTGATAACGGACATTACTTGGCGTATGTGCGGGACTCTACATCTCATGATCCTTACGCTTGGTTCTGCTGCAATGATTCGCGCGTGACAAAGGTCCGCATTGGGAGCGGAGACCGCGATGATGTCCAGGAGGAGGTGTTCAAGTCTGGCCGCGACCGCGTGCCATATCTGGTCTTCTTTCGTCGCAAGGGCATGCGATAAAGCTATCATCGTATCGCTTACTTACACTCAACAATTCTGGCCGTGGCTTGGGAGTTGGATATACCCTCGTGGCTCCTTGTTCCTTTCTATGCGTATAGCGGGAATTTGGAACACTGAGAAGTCATGGACATGGGCGAACTTCGCCGTTGTGTCGCCTTTCTTCCACCCCCACTCCCAAATCCGTCCGACTCTCGCGAAATGCTACGGATTTTTCAACCTCTTGAAACGCCCGTCTTCTGTTTTCAGCGCAGCTTTGTTTGATCTTTACCAATACTACACTACTTGTCTAAATGGGTCGTTGTTCTCGGTCCCCCACTGCTTCTATATCGATATATATATCTCGCTAGCTGGCTATCATGATGGCATTGTACGGAGTAGGTAGCGTGCTCTTTTTTTTTTGGTAAATATACTTGACCTAGAGTCATGACTTGAAGGAGAGGTGAGGTACCTGTTTTCTAGCAATACTTATATCCATATACCAATTGATTGATGATTTGATCCATGTGCTTGAATAACCTAACTTCAATTTGATGTGCCATACACTAGAGCTAGAAACCTAACTGATTCCGTTTCAGACAGCAACTGTTTACAGTCCCTTATAGCTGATGGTTGGTATTAATATCGATTTAAACTACACCGGGCAAAGAGTTACAATATTCTACGTCTTGGTCACCTTTCCAAGTATTGCCAGCCAATAATTCTCTCACGCCAAGTTCGATTCAAAGAATCACATGTCAGATCACATCAGATCACATCAGATCATCCCCGAAGGAAATAACTAGGGCCTAGGGAGCAACCATAAAATGACCCGGAGCCGAGTTCCATTGTCGTTCAAAATTCCCTTCAAGATATCATGAAGCCAACGCCGCGACAGTAATTACAGACATTGAAAATAAAACCGCACCAAAAGTCGATACACCCGTCTTCCCATCTTCTCTCTTGGTATCCATTCTTTCGACTTTCAAACCAGATGTTCGACCATTAAATCACCTCACCGATTCAATCGTTAATCACGAGCCTGTGCTCTTGAGGGTGGCAGCGATGTCCTTCTTGAAGTGTTCGGTAATCTTGCGTCGGTTCAGCTTCTGAGTAGCGGTGAGGAGTCCCTGGGAGCAAACACATTAGTAAAACTTCTAGCAAGCCAGCGATTGGGAGTGTTCTTACGTTGTCCGATGTCCACTCTTCGTCCGTGATCAAAACGCCATTGACGATCTCGATACTGCTCAAACCAGCGCGCTTCGCAGCACCTTGAAGATCCTTGAGAACAAAGCTGACCAGCTTGGGGTTGGTGTGGAGGGTATGGAGGTTGTGCTCATCGAGACCCAGCTCCTTGGCCTTCTCTTGCACGACTTTCTCGTTCGGCATGATAACGGCAATAGGGCGTGAGTGCTCGGGATCAGCGTGGACCATAACGTTGGCCACCGACTGGACACCACGGTACACAGACTCGAGTTTCTCAAGGGCGATGTATTCGCCGCCCTGCATCTTGACGAGATTCTTGACGCGGTCAAAGACTCGCAGATGACCCTGAGCATTGAATTCTCCGATATCACCAGTCTTGAACCAGCCATCAGGAGTAAGGGCCTTTTCCGTCTCCTCGGGGTTGTTCCAGTATTTAGTCATAACAGGCAAACCCTTGATCCAGATCTCGCCTTGTGGAATCTTGGCTTCGGTTGAGTAGCCCAATTCAGGGAGCGCAACGAGCTTGACTTCGCAAGCGCAAGGGGTAGGACCAATGGCATCAGGGGAGAACTCAAGTGGGCAGCCCAGAGAACCATTGGCGCAGGTCTCAGTGAGACCATAACCAGCCAACATAGGAGCAACGACCAAGGAAATGAAGTTCTTTGTACCATCGGAAATACCACTGGCGCCATTCATAGTGAAGCGCATACGACCACCCGTCAGTTCACGGACTTTGCCAAACACGATGCTATCAAACAAGCTCGCCAGAGGCAGCTTGTTCTTAGAGGCAAACGCCTTCCAGTTGTAGGCGCCCCAGAAGAGGTTCTTGAGGAGAGGACTGGCAGCCTCGAGTTTGGCTGTGATACCCTTCCTTACAGTCTCCCAAATTTGAGGAACGCCAACCATGACAGTGGGCTTGAACTCGCGCATATCACCAGCACAGTTTTTCATTGATGCATCCGAAAGCGTTCGGGGGTTTCCGTATCCGAGAGTTCCTCCAATGTACATGACGAGGTTTTCGAGGGCCATTTCGAAAATATGAGCTAGAGGCAAGTAGGCAAGAATGCACTCCTTATCGCTAACGCATTCTTCGACACAGGTGTACAAACTGGTGACTAAGAAGGAACAAATCAGTAAAAAGGCGCAAGATGGTGCAAATCAACTTACCTCCGGCAACAAGAGCTTCGTGGGTGATGCAAGCACCCTTGGGCAGACCAGTGGAACCAGAAGTATACATGATACAGTACAGGTCGGATGGCTTAGCCGGGTTCGGCTCAACGGGGTTATCTTGACCGAGCTGGCGAAGTTCCTCGAGCGTGACGATCTTCAGATCAGGGTGTTCGGCCCTGAAGGCCTCGAGCTCGCCACCCTTGGCAAAGATCGTTCGGTCGTTGACAATGACGGTTTTGACGGACGACTTCTTGATGGGCTCCGAGGCGGTCTTAAGGAGTTGCGAATCGACGTACATAGCGCTACATTCGGTCTGAACAAGAGAGTGCTCAACACCGCTGGGTCCAAGTGTATCGTAGGCGGTGACAATGGAGATGGACTGGGAGGCAGCTGCGTGGGAAGTAGAGATCCATCCGATGCTACACGCCGTGGAGTCAGAAACCAGTGCTTGGTTGCAGGAGCCAGTCAATGTTGTACATACCTGGTGGTACCGAAAACGTGAAGCTTGTCGTCACTGGTCAAGCCCAGCTTCCGTAGACCGGAGCCGATTTGCAGAACGCGCTCGAGATACTGTTGGTAAGTCAAGTATTCGAAGCCAGTCAGCTCGAAGTAGGACCACTCCTTCTCAACTTCCTGGACCTCGCCATCGACGTTCTTCTTAATCTTCTTCTTCTCAGTGTGCATGTTGATGAGCTTGCGGGCACCGACAGCATGATGGTTGGGGTAGAGTCGAGCGCTGCGCTGAACGACCTCGAAGACGGTCCTGGCATCGGGAGCAGGATAGTTGATGAGGCCGTCCTTGGCCTTGGGGTGACGTCGAGGAATGGTTTCGCCAGGGACCTTCTCATAGCCAGGAGCCTCGATAGTGAAAGGAGGCTTGTGCACCTGGTGCAGCGGCATAATGCCCGTCGTCCAGTCAGTCATCTTGAATGCGCGGTAGCTACGGAGTAGACGAGGAAGCTGGTGAAGGTCTAGGTTGAGGTTTAGGTGATGGTCAAGGTGAAGGAGGACAACTTCACAGAATGGCCTGCGATGACGACAGTGGGGGTTAAGGATGAGGGTATCGTTAAGTGTGAGGAGAAGAAGGGAAAGAAGGATGAAGGGGGAGACTGGTGGAATTAATGTGAGGAAGGGACGGGAAGCGAAGCCACGGACGGAGACGACGTAGGAGAAAGCAGCGCGGGCGTGGAGAAGGATATACTGCATCTGGTTGGCACACACTAACGTTGGCTGCCTTAATATTAACCTAAGCAATTGGAGCAACACAACACAACGGGAGAGCTAGAGACAGCAACCTCGACCTACGGAGAGGCGCTTGCTGCAGGAGAGACACGGCACAGCAGGGAGGTACACTGAATGGTACAGTACCATCAAAGCCCGGGCCAGGTCGAGGTGGAGATTGTACAGGGTTTCAGCAGCTCAAAGTACCATCAAGTATCCTAAGCTCGGTTCATTCAATGCCCATCTGACGCGGTTATCTTAGCATCTATTCAAGCACAGGCTTGGCTAAATAAATGCATTGGTTCACTCTTTTCTACCTATGTTTTGTTTTACCTTGGCTTGCCATACCGAGCTTCCCTTTGTGTACTGTAAAGATAGAAGCTAATGCTAGAATACGACAAGAATTTTTGCAGCGGGACTGGATACCTTACCCTTGAGGTAAAGTCTCTCCGAACAGGGAATCTTAAACAGGACCGAGGATGGACCTTAACGATCGATACCTTGTTCAAGATGGAGATCAAAAGCTGAGCCCTCGACAGACATCAAAGTGGTTCGCGTAAATATAATAGGCCTTGGCGGGATCAGATGCACACGCCACAGAGACAAGACTTTCATGGTCTCTGGCGAGTTAAAAGGCTAAGGCCATTGATAAGGAGACGAGTATTACATTTTCTCTCCATATAGACTTTCCGCAACAAGTCCATTTCACATGAGAGAAGTGCTCGAGATGATATTGAACTTGGACCTGCCGAGATATTCGTAAATCAAAGTCTTGCAGCAATTTCGGAAAATATAGGTACAAAAAGATACAGATGGGGTTCAGAGCAGTATACCCCTTCGGGCTTAGCCGGATAGCTTCAGGGAAGCTCCAAGGCGCTAAGTCTGCTGGGGAAACAGAGAGCGGGACGTCTGCATTGCGTCACAAATGGAGTCTTCAAAATTGTGCTGGCAGGTTTGCGACCAGAGAGAAATTCAAGACAATGACGAGACATGAATGGTAAAAAATGCTCGTCATCACCATCAGAGCTTTCGGCTTCTTCGGCGCAACCATTGATCCAGCATCACTAATCCTATAGGTGGCAGATCCTTAAGCCAGTGCTCAATGCTCAGTGCTCCTCAGATCCTTGTTGAATCACCGCATCTCGAAAGTCTGTTGCTGGCTTGGCCGTTACGTTGAGGCTGGTGCTGGTGCTGGTGTTGGCGCTGGTGTTGGCGCGTGCTCCATTCCCAGTCTATCCCTCACTTATCTTTAACAGTCAGTAGTTGGTCCTCGCCCGTACCATCCGGCGAACACTCATTGTCAGCAGCTGTCAGCACTTTGTTACTGTTGTACCGACTACCGACAAGTGCAAAAAACTTCGTTACACCTTTCTTTAACCGAAGGAGAAGGACAAACGCAGCCGATATGGCCGTGCCGCGAACGCACTGCAAAGCCAAGATTGACCTCCAACACCAAACATAACCTATGGTATGGAACCGATAAATGTACTTCTACAGTACTGCCAGGATCAGCGACGGGATGCTGTGCCTTACACTGCTTTTAGCACTATAAACGCCACACTTAAATCATTTTCGCCCTATGGAGAACTGAACATGGCATGTCTCCAGCTCAAAGACCTTCTGATCCAGGGGGGCCATAGACACCCATGCAACCCCAAAAAGTCAATATGTTCCAAAATAAGGGAAAGCTGTCATGTTTTCGAACCATTTCCCCCAACACTCTGGACACTTACACAGCGGCTTGCCTAGCCGGGAGCCACCGCACCCTATCAGGGAGCTTGTTGAGCTTCTGGTGACACACGTGCCTCCAATGCAATTCTGTTTGACAAGAAATGCATGTATCACCAGAAAAGCCACAAAAATTTCAGTCATTTCTTTAAATCCAGATTCATCAAGACGCATATCAGATCCACCGTTAAAGACCCCGCTGGCCGGATCTCCCTCCGCTGCTCCCCCGGACTCTTCGATGCTGGGCAGAGAAACAGGCTCAGGGAGTGCCTTGCAGATGGGATCAATCGCCGAGTTAACATTGGCTGTGGACGTTGAGTCTCCTCTTCGATGCTGGTCAATCAGCTGTGTTACGTTCCGCTGACCTTAACCAGCCGAGGTGAATGTTTTGTTACAGGTCGCGTGGCATGTGTCAATGGGCTTGCCCTTAACCTACAGTATTTCGTAAAGAGCCAATATCTTTTCGCATTTCTGCTTTCCCAGTCTTGATTGCATTGCATTCATGCACTGCCACTCTGGGTTTCTCTTGGCATCTAATTTTGTGTGCATACAGACGCCACCATTTGGGAGCCAAGCATTTACTAGGTTGCTGCTAGGTTACCCCATATTCAAGCTCGTTCGTAGCCAAGACCTGGCGATGGTCAGGTGTTACTGATGAGGGGGTGGACGTGACTGTTTAAGGAACATACCTTGTTGAATACAGTATCTTTTCAGACTACCTACAGGACTTACGAGTCGAGAGTCTGAGAATCCCGGCAAATTCAGGATCAGTTTGGTACTCTAAACGTACAGGCAGGCCCCACGAGCTGTCACCATAGTCCAGAGTAACCCAATCCTTCAATCCTTCAGACTAGCTGAGACGTTGGTGTATGGACAGACAAGTGACATGCCCCGTCAATATACGGAACACAACTCAAGAAGCCGGCAACTTCCTCTTAGGTAAGAATTCATGCCAAGGAAGCGCCCAAAATGCTCAAGAAGATCACGAACAAACAATGCCGAGCCTCGGAACTAGTAGCGGGAACACGGCTTTCTTGGTTGAAGCCCGAGGAGCCCGCGGGAGAAAAGTCAAACTATATGAGTATCACCTGAAGCAGTTGAACCCCCGCTTCCGAGGAAGGTTTGATATGAACCAAACATGATACAGTATGGTGAGGGGGATTTGTAGGGCTGGAAGTTTGTAGAGACGTATCAAGGGGTTTGTTGATCCTTGGCCTAGACCATTCCATCTGCCAATTTCTGAATGAGATATGTGTGTAATTTGACGATGGTAGATTCCGCTTTGACAAGTCAAGCCTCGTTGAGCTAAGTTAGATGAAGATTGTTGATAGTGACATGAATAAAATGACGAGTATTGCTCTATTTCGGTAGTCGAAAGTCATTCTGCCGTTTGACCGAAATTCTTCAAGGTAGATTCTTCAACCGTTTCATTGTCGATATCATTTCTGAGGGTTGCACGTTGCGGAAAATCGAATTCCTGTTCCATGGACCCTGGATTTAGCGTTGCAGATCTGCAACTGAAGTTCTCTGAAGGGAAAGGGATTCAGGGGTATCAGCGTCAGCTTCCAATGAGCATTAGCTTCTCTCATGCAATTATGCAGCGCAGTAAAAGCTGAACTGCAGAAGGATATCTCTTCAATTTGGTGCTGGCAGCTCTTGAAATGATGGAATCATTGAATAATTATAGTTTAAAAGTTCCCTAGAACTCGTAATGATTAGTACGACTCGCTTATCCACGTAGTCAATTACAGCAATCCAATCAATATCTCGCCTACCAGAGACGCGTACCTGTCGTGGCGGGGCTGGCAGACGCTTATTGGTCGCCGTGATTTTGGAATGGCAGTTCAGGGGCATAATTGACCCCCAAATTACACTGGAGACGGGGCTTCACTTGAATACGTAAAGCGAGAGCCTCACCTTTTTGCCTCGTAACTTTATTTGTTTTTCTTCTTCAGCGTCGAACTGGTCTCGGATTTTATATGAAAGATTGTCAATTCGATTTGTTCACAGTGCAACACCTATAATATCCGCTCACGATGGTGGTACGCAGAAGTACTGAGCAGTCAAATGCTTGGCTCAAACCTGTCGAGGACGATGAAGATGAGGGCTTTCTCACTGTGGCCGAAGATGCCGAAGCCAAAGGAATTCTCGATGATGGTAACAGATCGACGCTCAACTTGACGACGACTGAGCTTCCTGTTTATATGAACATTCACCGGTAAACTCGCCCTTATCCTTGCCCAATCCCTGCCTGCAGCTCAGAACTGCGTGTTCTTGGTGAGCCATTGTATAATCTTGCCAAGAATCATAATACGCCTATCGTGAGGAATCAGCGTGCTAACTCTCCTTGAGTGTAGAGTCCGGCGGTTAGTTCTTGCGAGTATTGGTAAGTCTCATCCTCAAGTCGTCTATGAATAATAAAATCTAACATGTACCAGATGATCCTTATACTATGGAGCACTTCAGAGATCCCAAGATGAACGCTCTAGTTGTGAGACCTCTAGTCGAAAGACTTTATAATCCAGACGATATTTCAGTTGGTGAGTGTTAAGCGCAGAATCTCACCTCGGGGTCTTCTCTGACTCCTCTCTACCAGTTTATTGTTTGTTAGCAAACCGTGTCTCTTTTCTAAGAGAACAGTCTAAGGAGGTTCATCAGAGTGTCAATCAGGCGCGTGCAATTCTATGTGAGCTGCTCGCTAGTCGGGTCCTGCGCCGCTTCCACGAGGATAATCCAGGACCACAAGGTCTTTTGCTACTCGCACATATCCTCGTTGAGGGCTTTGATCCATTCCAAGGAGCCCCTAGTCATATGGAGCGTCCAGCTAACCGACCCCAATGGCCTGGATCTGGTGACAACACTGGCTCTGAGAGAAAAGTCACAGCTCTTGAGTTAGCTATCGTCTCTGAAAGCAAGTTCTTCATCAGCTCTGCAGCCTGTCAACGAGCTGTCGATGCAGTCCATAACGGACAAATTATTTACACGCCCCTTTCATTTATGGATTTCCTTCCGGATCACTACAAACGACGACCTATCTCTCTTTATGACCCTCGAACAGCACCTCTTCTTAACCACCACCGTCTTATTGTTCCTCGTAACCGGAATCTGATCGAACTCGTTCACTTTGTCATCTTACTGGGGCTCTATGTCATGACCATGATTTCTCGCCATTCTGAGGTCAATATGTGGGAGTTCGCCTTTTGTATATACACCTTCGGTTGGCTTCTTGAGAAGATGGCTGCTATTATCGAGCACGGCTGGGCGGTTCACGCACAGAACCTATGGGCGTTCCTTGACATCACTTTCGCTTCTATCTTTGGCGCCTATTTTATCCTTCGCATCTACGACTTTCTCCTCGATCAGCTTCATTCCGGCTATGGACTACCGATTCTTTGCATTGCAGCACCTGTCATGTTGACTCGTGTTGCTTTCAACCTGCTGCCAAACAACCTCGTCTTCATCTCTGTTCACGCTATGATGAAGGACTTTACCGTACTGACGTTCCTTGCTACATGGTGCTTTACCGGCTTTCTGCTCGCCTTGCAGTGGCTTGTTAGTGCTAGCAACGATGGCAATGAGGAGTTCAGCTGGTATGTTGTGGGCAAGTGGATGCTCTGGATTTGGTTCGGTCTAGACGGTGAGGGTATTGAGGAGTCGGTGCGCTTCCATATCATCCTTGGTCCCGCGTTGATGATTGCCTTTGCGTTCCTGGGCAACACACTCTTTTTGACCATTCTCATTGCCATGCTCACAAACACCTTCTCCAAGATTGTGGCCGACGAAACCGCCGAGATTCAGTTCCGACGCGCCGTTTTGACTTTCGAGGGCGTCAAGAGCGACTCTATCTTTGCCTACCCCCCTCCTTTCAATATTTTGGCTCTGATGGTGCTTCTGCCCCTGAAGCTTGTCACCACAGCTCGCATCTTCCACATTGTCAACGTGGCCCTTATTCGAACTCTCAACATGCCAACTCTCCTTCTCATTAGCTTTGTGGAGCGACGCCGTCTTTGGATGCAGTCTAGACGTGCTGCTGGCAAGCGATCCAAGTGGCAGTTCACATCGCTGTCACCCCATAATGATGTCCAGGCTGTCTTCAAGTCTATTCCGCCAACTGAAATTTCTGACATCATCGATCAGCTCGATCCTTTGGGTGAAGTCCCAATTCTTGAGGATGATTTGATGCCCACGATGGCGGGTGACAACCCTCAGTCGAAGCTGAGAAGATGGAGAATGTTGCAACGAGAGGGACATCGCCGAACAGATAATGACGAGTCGTGGAGTAGCTCGAGCAGCATAAAGAACGAGTAAACAATGTCGATATTACAAGAATAGCATTGCATCAGCGAAAGGAGTTTATTTTTGGTTATTTGAGTGGGAGGAGTTTTCACTTTCAGGACAAGAATTATATATAGAAAGAGTGAGATGAACTATACCTTGTAATTCAAGATTTTGGAGCTTCATGGCCATTCCTACGCCTATTTAGCACTTTGAAGAAATGAAATGACACAACCAGGACAGAGTGATGCAATTCAAATCATGGAATATTGTGATCTTCGCGAGAGAAGAGCATGCTAAGTTCAAGGGGTCTGTTCACTGAATATCTAAAACCGTCTCATATTCATTTTCTGTGTATAGGAACATGATAGAAATACCTATGTTAGCATTATTGGACGTTATCGAAGTCCATCATTGTTTCACTTCAGGTTAAGGCAGTTGTGAAGCTGTAGTTACAGGACCCACTCAAGCTGTTGGCCCCGCGGTCATGGATGTCGCCTCAAACGGGAGCTAAAGTAGAGAATCCCCAAACTTTCAAAGACAAACATCACCAACGCGGCTATAACAAAGAACAGCAATTGGATACATTCTAATATATCCAAATACTATTAATTACACGCAAACGATATAGAACGGAAGAAAACACCAGAAATCTACTCATCATGGCTTATGGCGACGACCCACCGCTGTCTCTACGACCGTCTCCCGTCGCCGATCGCAAACCTCAGAACATTGCAGAATTTATTGCTCGCGCCAACGCGCAACCTGGCGGATTCAGAGCTATAAATGAGGCTAAACTACGAGAAGAGCTTGCTCAAGAGGAAGCGGAGTATGGGGATGCGCTGGATAGAGATGTCGATATGGCCGATGGGGATCAAGACGAGGACAACGATCAGGATGCGCAGAGAGATCTCCAGGAAGTGCGCATAGAAATGCTAAAGAATCTTGAGTACGAGAGCCCGTGCTGTTCCAGGGAATTGGACGATATACCCTAGAACATGATCGCAAACTAACGTCTCCCAGCGCTGCAGGAAATACGGCTCTTCTTACCCTCGACTTCCTCTCCCTCCTCATCTCGAAACAGAACCCTACACAGGCTGGCGTCACTCTCTCACAAGGCCTACGCGACATGGTTGGAATTGGTACACTGGGCACCGACAGGCTTGATACCCCACCTGTGACTCCAGCCAAGGTACAAGAACAGGAGAACATAGCATTGGGTCTGGCACTCATACAGACAAACAAAGCACGGGATGCTGCTGAGGCTGCTAGTGCGTTCTTGGAAAAAGAAGTTACGGTTGAGGGTAAATACTGGGAGGAGATTGCAGTAGTTCAGAAGTCCGGATGGTCGATATCAAGAGTGCCCCAAGAAAGACACACACTTGGTGTTCGATTTGGTTTCTCAGAAGGTATGCCTCACTTTGACGAGTTTCGAGTTTCCCAGCGCACGATTGTACTGACATGATCGATAGCTGCACCCGAGTACAGGAATAGCCTTGCACCCATGAGACGAGGCAATGACGGGGTAGTTCAGCTTGATTGCGGCCGGTTGGGAGGAGTATCAGAGCGAGTTGTCGTAACATATGAAAGGGATGGTCAAGTTACTGGCCGTTCTGCTTTACCGGCTGAGACGGCCGCTGACGCTCCCTTGCAAGAACGTGTTCTCGAAGCCAGAAACACCATTTTCTCACAAGAGCTATGGCACGAACTCACACGCGAAGCTCGCGCCCTTGCAGCATACGATGTCAAGCCAAACGACTCCCGCCTCATCTGCGATATTGATCCAGCATCAAAATCAAGGGTCATCTTGGAGCTGGTGCCGCTTGGCCCTCAAGCTTCTTCAGATGATGGTCTTCCTGATAACCAAATCGCTGAGACAATATCCCTTGCGCTGCATACCCTCCTTAGCTACGCTCATCGGCAGAACGAGCTTACGAGAACTCGTCCTATACCGCCTCACATCCCACGATCGAGAGGCCAGCAAACGCATGCTCTTCTGCGTCCTATAATTGCTCGCCTCATGCACCTTCACAACGTCCAAGTCGTAACCAAGCATGTTGGCGTCCTTGTTCAATCTCTCCAGCGCGCTGGCTTCCCCTCACGTTTTGTCCTCCACACAGCCCCTATTTCTCTCTCCGACTCAGATCCCGTGAATCAGGGCCCTAACCAACTTGCATCGTCGCAGATCATGATTCGGAATATGCTCCAGCCCATTGAGTTCAACATCAAACTTACCATTCTTCCCAATGTCACCTTCACCGTCCGCGGCCGGACATTCCTCATGCCTGTTACAGCGACATATTACTATGTGATCACTCCCCCAAACTCACCTCTTTCGTCTGCATGTGCACCATATCGGGAAGGATATCCGGATGCAAATGCACTGGCTGATTACCTCGGCACTGCTACCGCACGCCTTCTCGTGGAGCACTATCTCGCTATTCTTCCCTCGCCATGGTCTAAAGGCATACAGGGCAATGCCATTCTTAATGCCAAGAACGAGGACTGTCGGATGGTCTTTACAGTCACGGAAGAGCCAGCTCTACATTTAAAGAGTACTTCTGTCGTTGACGGGCAACTGGTGTCCCAGGAGTGGACGTGGTCAGACGACGCTACCAAAATACATGTTCAGGACATAATAGATATCGAAGTTTCGAAATTGAATCTTTAGAGCCCACCACGGTCGAGACGGCTGCATTGGCCTTGTCGACAGAGATTTGAACCCTTCCAGCTCAAAGATAGGAGAGGATGGTGGAACAGACCCAGCTATGATGGCGCTCAAGAGGATTACACCTATTGTGGTGTAGTATCGAAATAGGACACATCTTTTAGGAAGCAACGAGTCGTTTTCGCGTGGCATGGATCAGAATACACATGCAGTCACGCTCATTTTTGCATCCCAAACCGGAAACAATGTGATATGTACTGAAATCATTTCTCTAACATTGACATAGTTCATCTACGAGGTTTTCGCCCTGGTGCAACATGCACGCTACCTGTATTAACAGTGGACAAACGTCCACTGGAAGCATTTTCCTTGAGCTCACACTCCAAAATATCCCTTTGGTGAATCATTGTCCATATCCCGTTTCTCACATGATCGCATAAAGAAAAATCCGTAGTCGAATTAATGCCACGAGGTGGTCGTTCGGCTTCAGTGATGGTAGTCTCAGCCGCGTAACTGCCATAACTCATCCAGGTCTTAAAAGCAAGCTGCATCCCCTGATACTGTGCAATATGATAATTGATGCCGTGACAGATATTTTGTTGGTCGACATACATCGCTTAGCGGTTGAATCCGAAAAGATTCTTGAGGTCGTTGATGCTGAGACGACCAATCTTGCTGCCCGCAGTCTCGTCCAGTGCAGCTTCTACCATTTCCTTTTTCTTGTTTTGCAAGTCCACAATTCGATCTTCGACAGTTTCCTTGGTTAAAATGCGATACACCTTCACCTCCTGTTGTTGCCCAATTCGATAGGCTCGATCGACGGCCTGCATCTCGATATATGGGTTCCAGAAAGGGTCCATAATGATGACCCGAGAGGCAGCAGTAAGATTCAGGCCTGCATTTCCAGCTCGCAGGGAAACTAGCATAACCTTGGTTTCCTTTCGGTCGCGGAAATTCTGGGCTGCAATGTTGCGAAGAGTTGCTGACATTGAACCGTCATATCTCTCTGGTTTAGCCATCTTCTCATGCGACATGGCCACCTGTAGCAGATCCAACAACAGGGTCCACTGAGAAAAGATGATGGTCTTCTCGCCTGTTTCCTTAATCTGCTTGATGAGCTTCATGCATTCCGTGACCTTTGCGGCGGGCTCCCAAGTCTTGCGCAGATAACGCATGTACTTTTTGAACGCGTCGCGGTTCTTGTAAGCTTCCTTGCGCAGGGTCTTAAGCATGGAAGGCTTGACATCCAATGACTTTTCCTTCCCCTTCCCCTTTCCTTTGCGCTTTTTCTTGACCGATACCTTTTCGTCCTCATCCGAAAGTTCGTCATTAACGATGAAGTCTTTGAGATTACCCTTTTTGTCAACCTCATCATCTGACTCGTAGTCTGACTCTGACTCTGTCTCTGAGTCGTCGTCTGAGTCAGATTCGTCGTCAACTGGTTCCATACCGGATTCTTGCTTGACGGTTTCCGGCATGTGCACCTCCCGAAAGGTCTCATAGGAAAAACACTTAGCAGGGTCGAATTGGCCGCGACAGACGGGGCACTTAGCCCGGCTGCTTTCATTTCCTTCCTGCAAATTGACCGCCGAAGCGCCCTCTACAATTCGAACGAGGCATTCACCGCAGCTATCATGGCCGCAGGGAATGAAAAAGCTGGGACATTGAACGGCATCATAGCAGATAGGACATTCGAATGCCTCGACCTCCTTGATCCTCTCCACTATGGCTTGATCCAATTCTTTGACGAGCTGTTTCTTATCTTCATCTGGGATAGACGAAGGGGCCGCCTCGTCGACATCCAGATTTAGATGTGGATGGCAACATGCTTGGCGCAAGCGAAGCAAGAGAACAAGAATGTTGGAGTAGTTCTTGCTGACCGTCCCCTCACGAAGATATTTGCTGAATTGGACCCTGGCATGCTTTTCAAGCTGCGAATAGAAATCACGCTCCTCGGGGGACAATTCGGCGTAGATGATTTCTTCCGTCTTCTCGGGTAGCACAAGGATAGGCTTACCATTAAGCTTTGAGCTTTTCTTACGTCGGAGCATGATGGCTTTGAGAAGTGCTTGTAACTTATCCATGGCCACGTGCTTAGGGTCTCCATTGCGGCCAAATAGAACACCAAATCCCTGACTGAGTTAGTGATAAATTGGCATCGAAGGCTGATTGGCATACCTGTCGGAACTCTTCCCACTTCGAGTATGGTTTGATCCTCAGGAACTTGACAAGAGAGTACAGCTCTATGATCCCATTCATCATAGGTGTTCCTGTAAGACACCACCGGTGGATCGATTTCAGTTGGGTGCAAGCTTTGGCACCCTTTGTCTCCTTGTTCTTGATGCATTGTGCCTCATCAAGAATGACACGGTAAAATTGGGCCTTGACCGGGTGCAGAAGTGATAATTTGGAACTAATAGTCGTGTCGCTCCAGTTGATGTTTCCTCCCCTTTCATTATGATCCTCCACGATCTTTTCAAATCGCTTGAGCTCTTGCGCCACTGTACCATATGTAGTCAGCACCACGTCATATCTGAGCAACTCATCAATCGAGGCCTTTTTGCCGTGATGAACATATACCGAGAGCCGGTGTGATGGTTTGGTCTTGGTAGCAATCTCTTCTTCCCATTGACGTAGGAGAGCAACAGGGGCAACGATGAGGTTTGTCTAACAAGTTAGTACACTAACTTGTTGGTCAATCGGAGATACGCACCTTTGGCCTTGTAGGTGACCGGCGGTCCAAGAGGAGCGAAAGTGTTGAAATCGTCTTCCCAAGCCCCATATCATCAGCAAGAATACCACCTTTGTTTGTCCCTGATTCCATTTTCTTCATCCAGGCTAGAGCAATGTCCTGATGAGGATACAGGGGTCTCTTCAACCCTTCTGGTGCCTCACCTAGACCTGCCTTCGGAAGATCCATATCAGCAGAGATGTTTTGCAGGAGAGCATCAAGTTCTCCTTGGTCTAGCTGAGGCGTATGGAAACTGTCCGTGGCCTCTCTCGCGAAACCCATCAAATAGGGATTTATTGGCATGCCATCAGCATCTAGCCCGTTCACGAAGTCGATTTGGTTAGTCCGTCCGATCACATTGGCAAGACTTGATGGGTTTGAAAAAGAACCAGGTAGGCCAGGGTGGTCAGGCCAGGCGCCAGGACGAGGCGAACCAAAATGACGCCTAGTCAGGTCTGGGTAGTTCATGCCGGAAGCCAGGATTGGACGACCAGAAGGAGTAGGCGGTTGGTGAGCAACGGATCCTGCGAAGATAAGATCCGGGTCCTCCTTGATGGCATTGTGGTTCGAGGAAGTTGCCTTAGGTATATACTGAGGAACCATTTGCCTTTGAGGGATATTGAAAGCTGGCCCGGCGCCTGAAAAATCATTCCAGCGCGCATCATAAGCGCCAGGGATCTGAAAGAGGTTGCCATCTGCGTCATTGTCATCAATTGGGGTAGAAAGAGCAGGCTGACTGTTCATGAGACGTGTGAAGGCGTTGTTTTGAGAGAATTCTGAGACTGGAATCTGATTGGAAGGGCCTTGACTCGAAAGTTGTCTCGCGAGCTGTTGGTCTGCCCATTCCTGCTTTTGTCTCTCCTCGGCCTTAATCTGTTCAGCGATGAAGTCGGACTCTATGTCATCATCGTCCCTGGTGTTCTTCCGTCAGAAGTGAAGGTGACAATAGTACTACAAAGTAACTTACCCAGTAAGGTCTATGAAGTCAACAGGGTCTTCAGCATTTCCGTTGACCAAGGTAGTCGAGAAGTTATCTTCTTCAGGGGAAATGCGGCGTGTCTTCGCATGATTGTCATAGAAGGAGAGGCGAGCTGAGTCAGCGCACCTTTTGCGGTCAGGTAAACGCCAGACACCGTGTTGTGATGGAGATTGCATGGCTTTTGAACCTTCAGGCTTTTCATCCTCTGAAGAAAGGTCAGCTTGATATTCTTGGTTGAAGGCAGATTGAGTGATAGGATCAGGGATTTGCAAGTAATGCATGGAGTTGGAAGATCCAGTCAGCAGAACTTGGGTGCTCAAGACATGACATAGGCACTAAAAAAGAAAATCACATATGAAGTGCCCACAGAGTATTTTTCAAGAAAACTCGTACCTAAAGTTGATGGTCCAAGGACACGATCTTCGGGAACGCGGTGATAAGATTCACCAGCTACAAGTATTGTTAGATAACGGAGAACAAGGCTATGCTGAGGGGTGGAACATACTAGTCATGCCAGGCTCCTTCTTCAGTTTCAAGCTTTGAAGAAGCTTCTTGAGGCGAACGATCTCTGAATGAGCATCTTGTCTCATATCCTCAGCCCCATCATACGTCGCTTCAGACAGGGACTCTAAGACAACCTTTTGCACCGTCAACTCCTCCTGGATCTCCTCGATACTCATGGAGGTTGTGTCAGCCATCATGCACTGCAGCCTAGAGAAAGGCGAATGAGACAGCACACAGGCGCAGAGACAGCATTCAAGACCCCCTCGGTCAGCGACAGTGACAGGCCACCGGAGGCAAGGGGCCGCCCATGAATGTTCCAAGGGTACGCAGCAAGACTTCCGGATGCTTAAGGCGGCAGGGTAATGGTGGCCGGCCCTATCAGGATCCCTGTCACGATCTCGCAGTACCTGTTATCGCAGAGGAGTAGTGGTAAAGAGCGTGATTCTTCGCACGTGCACAAATGAGCGTTGCAAGAGGCTCAAGTCAGAGGTTGATATTGTAAGGTTCACATTTAACTTTGAGGTGGAGCTCAGGGACGATATACCGGGAGCATGGGAAGGAGCTCGCCGCGTCACGCGTTAAGCGATTCACTGGAGTTGAAAGTGGAGGGCCTGAGGGGAGCTAATGCAGGCAGCAACACCCATTGTACAGTAGCTAGAGTAGCTTGTAGTGGGGGAGGGGCAATCATGGTAGGCAGGACCCCACCTCGAATCCCTTGCATGAAATCATTAATCATTATCACAGCCTGCCTTAGTGCCTTGAGGTAGATAGCCTACTGCAGCTATTTTCAGACAATAGAGAACAAGGCATGATTCAATAAACCCAATTCTCTGTTAAGTCCATATAAGTTAGCTCCTGAATTGTGACCCTAAGGTAATTCTAAGTACTTTACCACCTAAGCAAGGTAAGGTACCTATGAAGGTAAGTTAAGGCGGAGTTCTTCACTACACACGCCGTACCAAATATTCTTTGGTCATGTCTCACATTCCATCTCTTTGATGCAGGCAAAGGTATTTTTTCGAGTGAATAGGCTATGTGAATGAATACCTACAGTGTACACCGCCTATTAATGAAATATCCTTGTACGTGGCACTCTTGCAGAGAGCACAAAGGTCGTACAAACAAAGTGCAGCACCAGTGAAAGCACAGCATTTCGCCTCATTTTCAAACAGGGGTGCTTGAAAGGAGAAAAAGAAAAGGATATCAGATTTATACCAACTTTGCTTGGACGAATCGCAAGTCTAATCATGTCCTTAGAGATATCAAACGCCCTATGTCCCATCATGGTCCCTTTGAACGCCGCGAATACAAAGAATACGCACGGAATTTCCACCCTATTCACAATTCAATCATCTCCAGTGATTTTATGCCAGACTTTCTCCACTTTGTGAGTGAACCAATCCCAAATTCCTTCATCTTTGTCATCGTCATCATCGTCACTATCACTGTCGCTATCCTCATCCTTACCTCCACTTTCCTTGGAGGGGGCAGCCGACTTCGATGGTTTCACAGGTTTCTTCAGCGAAACTGTCGCCTTGGCGGACTGCGTCGGGGCAACTGGGACTGTAGGCCGTTCAGGCTGGGTAGGTTTTTGAGGCACAGTCGGCCTCTCGGGATGACCTGGCTTCTCCGGCAAAGTTGGGCGAGCCGGCCTCTTGGGGGCGGACGGAGGATCCGCAGGTTCCTCGGGTGTATCTTCGGGCTTGTGCACACCGATAGGCTTCAGGGGAAGCCGTAAAGTTCCGTTGTTGGGGCTCGGTGTCAAACCAACAGAGTCGCACAGCATGTTGTACACCTCAATATTTTCTAGTTACACAGCGTTAGCAAGAGAGAAGAAAGAAAAAAAAGGTCGCTCGTCAGAAATTAAACATACGGAAAACCTCGATCTGACTGTTCGCTGGGTGGGGGAACGCAGGGCCACGGGCGATAAAAATGGCCCTCATAAGCGGATGCTCATGATCATAACCATGAAGACCTCGAGGATGATATACGAGATTCTTCTTCTTTCCTTCTTTAACATCGAACTCGTCTTTGGTGACAATGGCCCATCCTGTCTCAGGAACAACCCACAGTGGGGCGATGCGGTGATGCTTGGAGAAGTGATATCGCTCGGGCATGTCGACATCACGAAGATAGACTTCAAAGTTGGGGTTAGACTTTGACTTCTCCTTGAGTTCGTCATAGAGCCCTTTCAGGTCGTCGGGTTTCTTGGGACGAAGGCCGTAGAGTGGCCAGCCATCGATATGCTCAATCTTGTCTGTATCAATAAGGTCTTCGAGCTGGATTAGTCTTGAAATATCTGTGGTTGCCATACCGTGATCGGAGACGACAATCACATTGACAATGTCGGTCAAGTTGCGTTGCTCGAGACCGTGGAAGACCTGTCCCAGCATGCCGTCCACATTCTTGATAGTTTGGCGAATCTCTGTGGAGTTGGGACCGAATTTGTGACCATCACTGTCGACATGAGGAACGTAAGCGGCAATCAATTGAGGTCGCATGTTGCCAGCGTCCACTGTCTTGTCCTCAAAGCCAGGCATATCAAGAAACTCCATGATTCTTGCGACCTTATTCTCAAGCGTTTCCTTGCCATTGAACTTATCCATCAAGCTTGGTTCAGTGTGAAGGACATGTGCCTCGCTTCCTGGCCACATATGGACAGCACTCCGAACGCCCTGCTTCTCTGCTGTAACCCAGAAAGGCTCTCCTCCCCACCACTTTGGATCAAGACTCTGGCTAGGATGAGTGTAGTAGAATTGCGATTGCATGTCGGGATCCCAAAAGGTATTGCTAACAATGCCATGGCTTTCAGGATACAAGCCTGTCGCAAGAGTGTAATGGTTCGGAAAGGTGACTGATGGAAAAGAAGGATGCATCCATTTTGGCGACACTCCTTCAGCAACGAACGAGTTCAAGGTAGGCGTCAATCCACGTTGGAGGAAGTCGGCGCGGAAACCGTCCAGACTAATGATGAGGGATGTGGGCGCAAAGAGCGCGGTTCCATTGCTGACCAGGGGCTGGTTCGCCTTGGCGAATCTGTTCCTGCGATTCTTGGATAGCTTCCAGGCTAAGAGAATCAAGATCGCGAAGCCTATGGCGATCAGGGAGTGAATGAAGACCCACCGGCGCCAGCTGCGACGTCGCTGAGCCTTTGCTTCGGCAATCAGATTTAGATGATGTCGATCCAATTCGTCACTGTCGTCCCTCTCGCTACTCTCGCCAGTTGAGCTCCCTTCCTTCATACCTCCCTCTTCCATCTCATACATTAGTTCTCCGTCCTCTCCATGTTGCGCATGCTCCACAAGTTTCTCTCGCTTCGTCTGTCTCCGTTGGCGTCGAGTCTTGCGTTTCTCAATCACGAGATTTTCTGCAGAACTGTTGATCGAGCGATTTCCTGAACTGCTTCCTCGACGACCAAACATTTTGCCTAAATTAGGTACCGCAAGTCCTGACCCACGACGCTCCCGCTCTTTCTTCTGTCGCGAATCGGTAACAAGTCGATCAATATCTTCCTCTTCCATCAAGACAATGCGATCGTGAGCACGCAACTCTCTACTATTCCTCGCGCGTGAGATAAGTTCGTCATCGTCGGTATCGGTATCTTGATCGCTGCGGGAGTGAAGAGACGAAGCATCGTCGTCGTATGCGATAGGAGAGAGGAACGAGGCATTGTCGCGGTCCTCCCTAGAAGGATTCGTATTCAAGTTGTGGAAGGACATGATGACTTGACGTCGAAATGTCTCTCAGGAACATGAAATGTCCTCGCATCTGCTACGTCGCCGCTATCGCATTTATTAAGGAAATTCTATTTAAGGGGACGTAAGACATGGATAGATAGACCCTTGGGATAAGCCATGTTCAATGCCGCGAATGAGACTGGGGGAACTTCCACCGGCTCCGTTTTCGACCCACAATCGATGTCAATGGTGCGATCATGTTGATTTGATGCTTTAATTGGTGGGTTCTTTACCAGCCTTTGAACTTTGAATCATATAAATAACTGACTACTTCGGCCCTCATATTGAATAATCCTTAAGACATATCGCAAGTCCTTTTACTAATTAATATCACGAGATATTTCCAGCCATTCAATCTTGTGCAAGGCAAAAGAAATGCTCAGCTACATATGGATAGCCTTACAGACAGATAGATATACTATGTAGACAGACACCTTGTTGGCAAATTTCGTCCCTGGAATTCCTGCGGCTCCATCCAGCTGCATCTTAGTCCAAACACTAAAAAATGAATGGCTCCGCCCATAATGGAACCAAGAAAGGCAAAAGAAAAAGTTTGCGGTTTGTGTGGATCGAACACACGACCTTCAGATATCGAATCCCCGAAGTTTGACTTCAGTCTGACGCTCTCCCAACTGAGCTAAACCCGCTATTGCTTATAGACGTTCCTGATAATGGATACCATCTCAACTCGAAATGGAGAATCGAGCGCCGGCGCGCTTTCAAAGAGGGAAAGGAATATTCCGTTACCTTGATGCGATATTGCTCACGGTGAAATATTATAAAACCCTGGTTTGTAGATCTCTATCTAGAGAGATGTTTCTAAAGTCAATACTTCATTCACATTGAGTTTGTTATCGTCCAGTGCCTAAGCTTCACTGAATCTTGGTCAACCATTCCTACAATTTTCCACCTTTGCTTGCAAACCAACCCTCAGCCTCATCTCGCCCTAGTAAACTTGAAATCATGATCTTCCCAAAGACATCTATATCATCCGCCTTTGCCTCAGCAAGAACACCTGTAAAGATGGCATTCGTCACCACATAGTGATTCTTATCTCTCCACGCCTCAGCAAAGCCCAGGGGAGTCATAGCATTCCATAAATATGCAGACAATGTCCATGAGTGGCATAAACCAAGCCTTCCATCACATTGGAGCATTTTGCAGCCGGACATGATACGATATGTCTGTACAAGATAGAATGAGAATAAGAGAGTACGACGTAAAGACTCCTGGAGAATCCAATCTTGCCAGAAGGCTTTTGTCGGGGCTATAGGGTACAGAGGAAGCGTACCAGGTGTTCCCTCTATGTCAAACTGGGCATAGGAGAACAATGATATTGCGGAAGCTTCAATGGCTGGAATGATGCGTTCTGCTGATGTGCGAGCACCTATATCGCCGTCGTAGAGCCTTATTATCTGGTAAAGGATGAGAGCCTGGGTATGAGCCAGACAGTCTAGGGGCGTTATTGGTGGCGGTGTTGAGAGTAAGTCGTTGACGCGAGATTCTATGCTACGAAATATAATGGGCGAATTGACACGGTTCTTGGCCATGTATAACGCACAAGAGGAGTGAGCATCTGCGTCGATGTTAGTGAGCACAGAGGACAGTTGAGCTCTGATCTTCACCCTGCATAGATCGAGGCATGGCATCTTTATAGAGTAGTGGATGACACCATGGTGTTTGGTTCTCAAGAACCATCTTCTTAGGAGCTTCTTTGATCTCATCAACAGCCCACTGAAGGCGATTCAAGATATGTGCTGAGACATTCCCAAAATCTTGTGTCGATGGGCCAGTTAATGTCAAAGGCTGTTGAGCAAGTTCTAGTGCCACATCTTCTAGTGGAAGATCAAACGTTTCCAGGCCGTTGGAGCTTGCATCAATTCTCGAGATGATGGTATTGAAATCTTCAATCATTAACCCGCTTATGGGAAAGCTGCCAGAAACTTCAGGCGACGATTCATTACTTAATAGATTAGGTGATACTGTCTCTGGTGATTCAGACTGAGGGGTCAACTGTCCTCGTATCGTCCTTGTGGGATACTGGCAAGATATCTGTCTCTGAGAGCATCGGAGACATGCGGGTAGAGCAAAGTCGCAACGCCGCTTAGCCTTGGTGCAAGCGGTACAGGACTTCCGCCGACTTGGAGGGTTGCGGCGTTCTCGGGCGGTGAAAGACATATTAGAAAAGTAAATCCGCAGTATTTACTAGCCTGCGGAAATGAAGTTGGTAATCTGATGATTGTGTTGTTGAGAGTTGAAAGTCTGACTGGCAACCAAGCATCAGACAAAGTGGAAATGGTCGGGAAAAGTGGGACTGGGCGGAACTCCGCCCTGTGAAAGCGGTTCCGTCTCGGGGGCGATCTGCCGTGAGAACAGCGGATCTCCGGCGACGTGATGGAGTATCCTACCGAAGGGAAGAGTTCTCCGCCAGCCAGTCCGCGGGTAATTTCTATAAAATGAGGGTCTGTGATGCTTCAAAGAGACCAAATACTTGGATTTACACCTCATCTATACACCTACCAACTGTGGTTATACACCTCGAACATCACATATATCATCTCACAACCTGAAAATGTCTACCCCTCAAGTCTTCGTCTCAGGCGCAACAGGCTGCCAGGGAGGCGCTGTCGCTCGCTACCTGCGATCCAAAGACATCGCTGTCCATGGCCTTGCTCGCGATCCCAACTCCGAAAAGGCCAAAGCTCTTGAGACTATTGGGGTCAAGCTGACTCCAGGAGACTATGACAACAAAGAAGCACTCAAGGAGGCAATGAAGGGCTGTACAGGCCTCTTCCTTGTTCTCATGCCCGACTTCACAGACCTCACCGCTGAGAGGCGATGGGCAACCAACGTCTTGAATATTGGCAAAGAAGCTGGCGTTAAGCATGCCATCTTCTCAAGCGGCTTCAGCGCTGGAAATCCCGACCAACTGACTGCCATGGAGCCCGGAAGTTTCACCGATACAATCATGCGCAATAAGCATGCAATTGAAAATCAGACTCGTGATGCAGGCTTCGAGTACTGGACAATCTTGCGCCCGGGATCTTTCATGGCCAACTATCTCGAACCATTTGTCAGAATGTATCCCGGCCTCGTTGACAAAGGAGTCTTCGCAACTGCTATGACCCCTAGCACTGTTCTCCCGTTGACTGATACAGTCACTATTGGCAAGTTTGGTGGCGAAGCATTTCTGAACCCAGCCAAGTTTCATGAAAAGGAGATCACGTATGCCGATGAGTGGGTTGAAGTGGAAGTCATTTTACAGAAGCTCTCCAAAGCCGTGGGAAGGGATCTTCAGGGAGAGTACCTTTCTGAAGAAGAGATTATGGATCAGAAAGCCACCAACCCTTTCATAGCTGGTCAACTTGTCATGAGAGACATGGCCAAGCTTGCGACCAAGGAAGAAGTTGAAGCATGGGGAATCCCACTGAGCACATTCGATGCGTTTCTAGAACGGGAGAAACAAGCCATTCGTCAGACATACCACAAGCCCGCTGGAATGGCACAAGGACCTAGAAATCCATTAGCGGTTGGTTTTGATCGCATAGTAGACTATGAGCCTATGTTTGTAGAGGATATTAAATCGTTGCTAAAACGAGAATAGCGAATACGTCAAATTATAGCATCAGTCAAATATCTACATGAATTCAGTGTGCACTATTCTTACTCTGAGCCATGCATAGTGTCTTGTTGGAAAGGACAGACGCCTGTGAGTTTGTATTTAATTGTGTGCAACACGTCCACTCTGCCGTTGTAGCTAGGAGGCCTTCTCTCTTGTGCCCCTCCGGTCCAAGTTATATAGATAATACTCAAAAGCCTGCCCACAGGCTGTCAACCAATATGCGCCGTCACCGTCAAAACGCCCCCAAAATGCCACAAGCGTCCGTTAAAACCCTAGTTGACCGTGTATCGCCAAGAAACTCGTAAATCTCAACCCGTTTCCATTAAGAAATGTTGATTACCCTGCACAGGAAACGATCACTGTGCTACCCCAATAGCTCCCGAAGCTTCACGTTGACTCACGTCCACTTCGGCGGTGTGAGTGGCACTCTTATTGTTCCTATCATGTGGAAGGCCAGGTTCCTCAGTGCCTGGGGTGGTGTCGCCTGTCGCGTTCTCATGTTGTGTGTAGCTTCTATTACCACCAGCCAAACTTCCTGGACCACTGCTTGATTCGCCAAAACCTCCTACTGCCCAGTCCCCTCGAGATTGTCGCGCCGAGGCTGAAGCTGGGTAAATCCCCTCAGAGTCATATAGAGTGCTTCCTCTCATTGCTGGGTTTTGTGGCCATCCCAAGGGCATGCTAGACACTCGACGATGTTGCCCCTGGCTTTGACTATTGGTAGCGCCGACAGGCACATCGTTTGCGACATGGCTATCTGTGTTTTCCTGAGAGCTACCATTGCTTGACGTCGCAAATACCGCAGCATTCTTTTCGTTGATATCCTTCTTGTTCTTTTTATGCCCCAATACCGCGGCAGCACCCCCACCAGCAGCCAAAGCGGCAACGGTAGCAGCGGCTGATGATCCAAAACTCCGAAACTGATCAAGTGGGCCACTGTCTGATGTTTCGTCAAAGAAGATCCAAAACATACCAGCAAGTAGGCCGGCGAGAATCAAAATGGTGATAATGGCGGCACCAGCCTTGTCACCTGCAGGCAAAGGTTTGTAATCCAAATCAGGAGTCGTTCGTCCAACATCTTCTGCACCACCACCAGGATTGGCTTTGCTTGTTCCTCCAGTGTCCTTTGTTAGCGGTGCCGGTCGGTCCTGGATCATGCAGGCAAGAGTAACTTCTAATGCGGCCATTTGTTGGCCAATAGTGACTTCGCCCTCAAACTTGTCCTTGGTCCAGTAGAGGCTACACATTCGATTGTTATCACCTCCAGTACACTTGTCCGTGGCTGCAACGGCTGACGCACGCAAGAGTGGCATTATAGTGTCGCGAGTATGGGGAGCCCATTGCGTGGTGACAGCAAGCCAGCGGCTCAGATATGCCTTGAAAGACTTCTGGTCGAGGTTGCAAAGTTTAACGGGCTCACAAGCGACCTCTATCATGATGTTCTTTTCAGGTCCTGAGAAAAAGACTTGGGCGCCCACGAGCAGATTGTCGAGGCGATCCTTCCAGACCTGGCTTTCGGTAAAGTTGTACATGGCAGCGGCGCCGAGAATCATACCGCCCGCATTATAGGAGAATTGATAGGGGACGAGTTTCGTGCAGTTGTTACCAATATGAGCACCATCATAAACATACCAGCTCTTAGGATCAATAAACTCGACTGCTTCCATCCAGTCCCATGTTCTATCAGCCCAGTTGGCGTAACTGCTATTGCCGGTGAAGAGTGCAAGACGTGCACCTAGAGCAAAGAAACAAGCCTGAGAAATCGAGTTCTTGTAGTCGTAACCCCTGTTCCACTGCGATCGGTGTTAGCCCATCAAGGTCAATTTCGACTTATCATAAGCATTTGGCGCTAGGCACTCAGGCGACGCCACGAAGATTTGACAGGTGATGGTGGCGGAAGTCCGAAACTAGACATATTTGCATCACTTACCTGGAAGATTTGCCATCTCAAACCGCCATTACAATGTTCCGTATCCCAACGAGCTGCCTGAGTATTGAAGACGGCTTGTGCAAGTCCAAGCCACTGTGGCTGATCTTCTGCAGGATGGGGGAAGTTGTACTCGGCAGCCGACATGACAGTGAGTCCCCAGAATCCCTGATCATCGTTTCCTTCGGTTCTCGTCTGGTTGATAGGCATGTAATCATCGTGATCGCCGACCTGGAAAAGAAGTGCCTGTTTCGTGATTTCGACATATTGGGAATCGCCAGTGTATGCCCAATAATCGACGAGTGTTCCCATAAAGGCGCCAGCGTACCACCCTGGCAGGAATCGTTAGTATCAACAGATGGGGCAATATCAAGTTGGGGACTTCATTCGTACAGTAGTAAGGGTCAGGTAGGAGACCTGGTGTTTGTCCGGGTTCGTCACCATGATACATGCCAACCATATCCTTGGCGATTGATTTGGCAATCGATTTAATCGAACCTGAATTGAGTTTCTATGTCAGAATAGGCGGCATTGGGAAGGCAGTACACCAAGAAAGCGGCTCGGCGACTGTTTCACGCTGTAACTCACTCGTCGAATTAGGATCCAGTTGGTAAGCCAAGGACAAGCGATTGAGCGTCAGTAGTAGGGCAGCTATGATGCCGCCTGCACCGAGCCTTGGCTCTGATCTCGATCTTGAAGAGAAGCGCATGTCGACAATGAAGCGAGAGCGACGATAAGCTCAAAGACGACAACGATGATACGTGTCGAGCTTCATGAGGATGCAAAGATAAAAGAGAAAGAAACGAGCGAAAGGATGACGATGAGAAGTGGAGAGAGAAACAGAGAGAGACAGGCGTGAGCGGAGGTTACCTGCGAATGAATGGATACGGGGATTGGGATTGGGATGGCAGCCCGGGGTGGCTAGGAACCTAAGAATGGAAGGAACCTCGACAAGGAAGCAGGGATTATTAGGTAGAAGCGGGATTACCTTAACTTAGGTAGAGCTAAAGCCAATTTAGGTGCACAAGGTACTTTTTTTTTACCTCCGTTATAAGGTCACAAAGGATGGAAACTTTAAAAGTTGGAGGTCTGGCAATTAGTGCAAGAATTGAATACAGAAGCAAAGATTAATTGAGGCTGACAGAAGAATATTGGGAGATGGTAGATTCGTCAGTCATGGATGCTTGTAAGAGGTCGAGTAAGTGGCAGTAAATTACCCTCGTGTAGCAATTCAGGGTACATCTTCAGCCTAAGTACAACACAGCAGAGCAAGTACACATCTCCAATTAATCATAAAAGTAACCTTTTTTCCTCAGCGGGAGCCATTCAAAAGTCCCATCCTCTAGCCCGGGCATAGCCATGGAGATACGAACAGGAAATGTCACTGACTAACTGTTCTTGATAACATTGAATGTTTCACCCCTCGAAATATCGTTAGATGAATGCATACCATACCACTCCCTCGTATCGGGCACCTCGGATATACATAAGGTAGTCTGCATCGTGATCCATCCGACTGCATTATTATTAGCAGCTCACAGCTGAATAATTCCCCTCAGACCCTCCCTCTCCAAGTCCAGGCTAGGCTCTTATGCGTAGAGATTTGCCAATACGAGCAGGCGAGGACCTGGAACGGCCGCCCTAAACTCCACCCTCTGCAAGCTCTAAGGTTCCGTCGATACGGCCGAGTTAGCGTAAGAGATGTGCCAAACCCAGATGGGCCAAGTCCAGTTTGTACCTGAACGGCATGTACATACCTCATAAGAAAGAATATCACAATGTGAAGAACAAGTCTCGGTAACACGGCAGCCAAGAATATGTGATATGAGAGGTTTTGTGGTTGACCCAGTAAATCTAAACAGTTCAGCTTATAAGACAAGAATTTGGGGCCAAGCCCGTCGCTTGAGGTGATTACGCTCAGTAAATGAGAAAACATCATCCCTGGTCCTTGCTCGGCTGACATTTGTTATCGAGATTCTCGTGTCCACCTTAATCAACTGTTATCCCACTCTATCATGTTGATCTGACTTGCCTGAGAATTTGAACATGACCTCAACCTTGATACCCTAGTTTTAACACATACTTTTGTACCGGAGCGCTACAAGGGTCAGGTTAGTAGTTGATTTGTCTATTTTCCGCTTCTTTCTATGGGTTGATTTATCAATTCTCCGTCAACCGGCTGAGTCGACGAAGCCAATCCATGGGAGCATTGTAATATTGACAACTTCCAAGTGATCAAAACCAGACATTCGCAAACAGGCATTTGATGTCTGTGGACCTATCATCAAAGCACTTCTTCCCGGAAATGGCCCATCAGATACTGACTGACGTTTCCGTCTCTGTTCACAGTGATGGCGAACTGAAACACTACACACAGGCTCATATCGTAAACACACTCTTTCAATCCAGCGGTATTCGCCTTGGCACGCAAACCGCAAACTCCTCCTTTTTCTTCAACTTTCATATGGCACCAGTGTTACCGATTATCTCATGTTCAAGGCACAACTGGTGTTGCTTGTTGCACATCTCCTTCTTCCGCTCAACGGCAATTGTGATGTGTTGCCTTATCCTCTCGACCATTTTGACTCTCTGGGCATAACTCCATTGCTGGTCTCTCCTTCAGGGTGCCTTATTCAAAGAGCTTCTGAGCCAGCAGTTTGCTCAACAAGCCTCTTCTAATCATTTGTACTGACCATTCCGCTCAGCGATTGCTCCGTCTCACAACGTATCCCAAGTATTATCATCCGACTCTACTGGTTCGTCCTCGCTTGAGTCACCCGCATTCGTAAACTCCCGAAACAGTGCAATGTCATCAAACCTGTCAGACAGGCTCTCCACACTTGCTTCTTCAGGATCCGTCATTGCAAGATTCAAATCAGCCATAAATGTCGCCCGTATGTCTTCCGCTGGACTAGTCAGCCTATTCTCCTCAAACTGTACCATTAGTCTTCGCGCTTCTTCCGCAGTTAAATCGCCTTGCTGGAGCGTCATGGACAATATGCTGCGACCGATGGTTTCGGCAAACCGAAATGATCGTCGTAATTCTCCGTAGGTTTTGACACAAAAGAACAAGTAAAAGCGCCAGGCGGGATCTTTTGTGTCTCCAAGAATCGCATTTGCGACATGAATCAGGGCAGTATGCCATAACATCGTGTAAGATGAACATGTGTAGTTTTCTCGATATACCACCACAAGGCGCTTGAGCTGATTCACGGATGCTTTGTATGCAGCGTCAGGCGAGCTGCGCTTGCAGGGAAACGTTTTCAGTCGCAGTGGTTTCGGCGAGTCCCTTGCACGAACTGTAAATGGGCGAAGGATACACAGAATGGCGACATGAAGCCAGATACTGCCGTCCTGTTAGACTTATAGAAGGGCCACGATCGGGAAGAAGCAAGAATTTGAAACATACTGAAAGACCAAAACGTGATGCGGACTCTGCTTTGAACGCACCATAGATGGAGGCAGTGTCTCTGCCCAAGCTATAAGTTCTCGATATTTGTACTCTGCAAAGGCGAGTGCGATGTGACTACTGAGGCTTTCGCGCGGGAAAGGCTGATCACGATAGTATTTCAAGGTCACTTCGTGCATTATTCTCCAGAATCGACATAGAATCGGAAACGTGTCGCCCATGTACGTCTGCTGAGGTGTCTGCTGATAAGACTCGGGGCTGGGCTCAGAAGGATGATACCATTCATGCCCTGGTATTGGGACAATAGGGGGGTGCTCAGGATACGAGAGGCCAGGTTGTTGATAAAACAAAGCCATGAACCTAAGGATGTTAATACCATGTCTTGTCTAAGATTCGGACTTGATGAACTCACACTATCCAATTGAAAGTACCCCAAGCAGCATATGATGTCGCGCTTTGTAGCTCAGGGCTCACTTGCTTTGCTTTGGAAACCGCAACGCTTTGCTCGACGCCGAAAAGCCCCATGCGAGCGCTCATGGCGTTCACTTCGGATACATGTGTCAAAACGTAGTGATCCTTTCCATTACCCAGATACGCTAAGCCCAGCAGTTGCGTTGCAGCAAGATTTAGCAGAGAATCTGTCGCCTTTTCAAGTGACCAACGTTTCTCGGCCTCTTCACAAAACTGTGGTATGAAGGATTGAACCGTAGAGTCGACCGCACTATACATTTGCTGTTGATGTCTCAGCGAGGCTAGTCGAGCATCAGACTCCTTCCAGACCACTTACACAACCCCAGTACATAACGGTACTGACCAGCAGTTTACTGCAGTAGTTGGTTCGACAATGGATCAAATCTTCCACAAATAGGGTCGGATCAAAGGGGCCCAATAAGGGATGATCCGTCTCAAGGTATAGTGATATGACCTTTGCAGCCAAGTCGGAGGCGACTGGCACAGAGGTCCAAAATCCAATATTCAGTTCTTCTAATCGTTCGTCACAGGGGCTGAGGGTGGGCGCCAGGCTCCGGGCAGGATCATGGGCTGGGAACGGGTTCGGGTCACTGTTGGTCATCGGGGTGTTTTCGTCGTTTTGAGTGGTCGATGTTCGGCCGGCGGTGAAGAATTTCCTGCCAAATGTCAGCCAAAGTTGGTGATAATACGACTTTGTAGCCGGATAGCGAATGGTGATGCCTTTCCCGTTCAGCCAGCTTACTTCAAGATAGTAGATTCAAGGGGTTGAAGCGCTGGAAAAGCGAGAGAATGTTTTGCCATGAGCTCAGATTCAAGACCCAGGTGTCGAGGGTGCTCAGGAGATCGTTCATGATTACTGATGTTCTTCGTTATCTGTGGTTGGATTATCGACACGGCTGTATCGAGGTCTGTGTGGCTTCGTACGACTCGAAGCATATCAATGGCCTGAGCCTCGGGTGCTGTCTTCAAAATTTCAAATAACCCTAGAATCTGCTCCGTTTCCTTACTCGTCTGGCCTGGACTTCGATTCTCGGTGTAGGTACATGGTTCTTTTTCGCCGCGTCGTCGACAAGCTTCGCACATAGGCTTTCTTCCATCGCACTATTTGTCACATCGTGTTAAAAAGGACAAAAGGGGTTGCTACCTTCCTTGAGGAGCTTACACGAATCTTCCTTTTGCGGCACGAGTTGCACGCTAGTTGGGTTCCAATTCGTTGTCGCTTCAAAGGTTCGTCGCTCGAGGATCGTGGAGTCGAGGAAGATCCAGACGGTTGCGAGTTGGGAGGGGAGTTTTCGTTCGGAGGGACAGGGAGTAGTTGGCGATATCTCTTGGACATTGCTTGGACTCGTGTTACTGGCAAAGGGTCCGTCGAAGATAGTAAGTAGTATCACAGTTGACCGATTATAAGCTACCGGATAGGGTGCTCAGTGGCGATAATCTCTTCGTTGCATGGGTTTCCTTTCACGTGTTTTATCAACTGAATGAGTCGTCAAGTCGAAGGCTGTAGGTAGTTAAGGGATGCATGCAAACAATGGACTGCTCAATCAATCTACCTATATATGTCTAAACTAATCAACTCAACTCGGCTGCAATCGTCTTTCTGAACAATCTTCCAATGATCAGAGACCTACATGCCATATTCGCACAATTGGACAGTAGCCAAATCAAAGGTGGAGGGACACAATCAAGCTCGGAGTGAGATCCGAGTGAACCGATTGGTTGTGGCACACAAGCCACGGGTGCATTAATGGTCGGCTTGACAAACTAATCATGTCTTATTTATCATGACATTCATACATAAGGTGGCGTATAGTTCTGCGACGGACATTATTTCTAACTGATGACTTAGAGTATGAGATATCATGAAACTGAAATACATAGTGTGTAGGTCTCTGTTTTGTTGAGCTTCAAAGCCCTTCTCATATCCTCCACGAAATCGGTAGAGCTCTATGGAGTAGAGCACAGGTTCTTATTGAACCCCCCAAACCCTTGTGTTACATTAGCCAGATCGAAATCGACGTTTCCATCGAATCCTGTCATCTGAAAGACCCCTGTTGTCAATTTTTAGTAGCTCGATGTTCGAAAATTCTGGACACCTCTTCCATCATAATGATGACAGAATGACTACTTCCCCCATGTTTCTAGCCCTATATCCAGGTTCTATTTATCTAAAAGTTTTAATGAGATCTACTAAACCCGAGCATGTTTTCCGTTCAGCAAATCATGCTTAAAGGATGCTTACCGTTTATTTCTATTTGAGCCTATGAGCAGATTACATAGGTCGCTCAGATGTGGTTTTAGATCGTGTGACAGAACTGGACCAACGGCGCCCATGCCTTTTCAGTTTGTATGAGCAATAGATTGAGACGTAGTTACAGAGTTAGATATCTACCCCTTGTTTCAAGTTTACTGATATTGATTTGATTGGTACTTATGCTAGGTGAGGCTCAAGTCTCTCATGAGCACTATTTTTTAAAGCCATTTGTGAAGCATCTAACACAGACTTGAAGGTCTTGATGGGTTTCATGATAAGGCTATAGATGAAATATCATCTGAAGGCCGTCAGAAACTCATTCGAGCATCTGTGACCGTCATTGTTCCTTGTGGTAAGTCCCAACAAAGGTATCTGTTGCATGGCCTATCAAGACCATCTTCGCTATTTCGTAGTACGCCGTTCAACAACAATAATCATGGCGTCAACTGCGTTGTTGTACCAACTCTTGCTAGTTAAGCTTTTGGTTCTAGTACGAGTTGTAACCTCCCTCGTCCATGTGTTTCCAAGTGCATGAATGGGCTGTTTGAGGATACCTAATGTGGGCTGGTATTTAAAAGCACGATTGAATCGGATGTGGCGTCGTCACCTTGGTGAACCGTGGCTGACTCATGGTTGCGAATACGGGCGGTGTCTCCGCGCTTACTGAAAAAGGACGACACTTGGGTTACAGCATCACATGAGTCTGTCATCACTACTTGCATCGGTAACCTTTTTAGGCACTGCGTACCACGACTCAAAGTGTCAAGAGGAAACGTATCACTGCGCGAATACTTTACAGTGCAACTACTCTCCCGAGATGTGCGAGCAATGAAAGCTTTTCCAGTAGGACAGGTCAGAGGACATTTACAGCACCTTTTATATACTAAGTGTCTATTGACTGTAATGGCCAAAAATAGAACAGCAGAACGAAGGAACCAACAGTTGATGAACCTCGATAAATTAAAAAGGACAAAGACTCTTAATTACCAGAGCTTATCCGTAGGCCTTCGAATCATGTAGAAGTACTTAGCCACGACGCCAATTCAGGCTCAGCACCGTTAACGCAACGCAGCCCATCTGAAGCCCGCCCGCCCCGAACCCCCCGGGGGCCTCGTCACCCAGCAGCGCCCCAAAACCAGCTCCGCCCTAGGTTCACCTGCTGCAACCTGGTCATTCACTACTTGTTTCGCCTGGACCAGCGCAACGTCTCACAATCAACTTCCCTCTTCCAACCTCTCGCTACGCCAACCTCCTCTTTTCGAACATCACATCGACACGACACGACAGCACCGTAATCGCGAACTTGTTCTCCTGCATCTTCGACTTTTCGCGCCATTCCGACCGATACCCCTTTGTTATTTTCTAGCGACTCAAACATCTCCAGACCACAGCCAAAATGCCTGAGCAGGAAGCCCCCTACGACCCCTACATCCCCAGCGGCCAGGCTGGAGCCCAGCAACAGGGTGCTGGCGGCAATGCCAGAACGCAGGCGCTACAAGCTGTAAGTTTGTTTTGATGATTTCCGTGATGCGCTGGTGTTTTTGGATGGTTATGGGTTACGACACCTGGCGACGAGGCTGTCTGATTACGGATGACGCCTCCGTTCGTAATTCGCAAACGATATGCAATGCGATCGTAATCTTTCGAAGAGCCATCAATCGGCCGCTGGCAAATCATGCGATAATGGCCTGAGAACAATTACGCAGCATCATGATATTCGTTCCGAGCAACCCGACCAAACGCCACTTGCCTCAGTTTGCCAATGCTTGATGAGCTTTCGTCACATTCTGGCCATCTTGTCAGCACCTCCGCCAGTGTCCAACCCACGTTGTGCCTCAGAAATCACCAGCGCCATAATGTCTGGTGTTTGAATATGAGCTAATGCAGTCGGCAGCAAATTGATGATACCGTGGGTGTGATGCGTGACAACATCAACAAGGTTTCTCAACGTGGTGAGCGCCTCGATGCTCTTCAGGATAAGACCGACAACTTGGCCGTCTCGGCACAAGGTTTCCGTCGAGGAGCCAACAGAGTCCGCAAGCAGATGTGGTGGAAGGATATGAAGATGCGAATGTGTCTGATTATCGGTATCATCATTCTACTGGTCATCATCATCGTCCCCTCTGGTATGTGCTCGATCCGTCGAAGATGTGCTGTTGGACATCCTGCTAATTCATTCTAGTTGTGGCTACCCGTTAATAGCCCAATCATCTGTTTGGGTACTACTTGGTCCTTACGATACACACGCTGGGACATGACGACATCGAATATCGCAAGCTATGACCATGGGAAATGGAACTTTTGGGCAACCGGCCATTATTGCAATGGAATATGATTTGAGCACGGTGGAGTTTGTTCACGTTGGGTCCTGGTCATGTTATGCTGGCAGTTTTTGCTCTTGGGGCGACATACTGATGACGAAGTCTCGGTATTGCTCCTGGGACTTCAGACCGGGCTGGATGTTTGAGATTAGGCGTTCCCCGATTAATTGAGATGTATACCTTTCCGCGGATCTTTGCCATCAAATCTGGCTCCTCGTGTTGCATCATTGGTAGCAACGAAGCGGCAGTCTGCTTGCTAGACTGAAGATAGGAATGGCAAGTGAACGGTCCTTGATTTGCGAGAGTAGTGGGTCGGGGTCAGCTCTCTAATTCTTGTAGAATCCCTTATTATTAGTCCACTTCTTTAATACGAGATTTCTATCACATGATAGCTCCCGTTTCATAAAAACCCATGGTTATTGTGATAAACCTTCCCTGAGAGGTGGGTAGCCGGCATCTGGATAAGCTAGACCAAGCCTTAAACAATAGTTGCTCCGAAGGTGGAACCTCTCTGCACACATGGCAGCATTTCCGTTGAAGATGAACGAAAGAGATCCCTTACAGGCTCAAGATTTGACGTACCAGAACCATGGGTCCTCCGTTGGCGTCATTTGGTAGTGGGCTTCTTCTGTAAGTGCATGGGTATTGTGGGTAGGAATAGATTGATAACGCCGACTGATTGATAATGCCTCATCACCATCTGAGCCGTTTTTTTCTTGGATCAAGGAAAATAGCCGTGTTTGGCTACTGTACCTCGGTGAGTTTGTCTTGGTAAAAAGATCTGCAGCGGATGAATGGGAACATTTTCATCTTTGCCGCTTCACTGTAGATATTTGAATGCAACAGTGAACTAACGAGGTCGATGTCAAATCAAAGATTGTTGCTCGCCCATACAGATCATAGGTGAGACCCCGTGAACATGGTATTTTTCCATGATGGACCTCAATGAAAAAAAAATTCTACCTTGATGCAATGGAGACCTGCAAGTCAACCCCGGTCAGCTAAGGGTCTCCAAGCGGTGTCGGATTGATGGCAGGTGCGGGAACTATGACTACGAGGGAATATGCGAGTTGAGCTTTGAGGAGATTCGAAGTTACAATAACAGAACCACCTATCGAAAGATCAGAGGCTGTCGTCTCAACTCCTGACACATTTGTATGTGCATAGAATAATTGTGCATAAGGTAGTTGGTAACACATGAAATCCTTACAGCTCTGTTGCCCCTCCATTAAGGTGACTGACCCCAGGTTCCTGGTACTCTAGGTTCCCAGCAAGGGGAGGCAAAAAAGCCTAGGGCCACTTCTCTAAGTGATAAAAATACCTAGGTAAGCTTATTTTCGATGTACTAGACCCTTAGATTACTTATTTTTGGCACTTAAGCTTAGTGTTGGAAGTTTTCTTGCTCCCTGGCGGTTAGGTACTTTTTAGTCTCCACTGACTCGCCCGGGCCTTATCTTGCCGTGTGGGCCTATCGATCTTCTCTCTAAAAGAGTCACCAGTCCTCGTCCTCTCTCCTTCAACCCTCCCCTCTGTCCATTGCACGATCTCCCTGCCATCGTCGAGTCAATTGGCTTAAGCAAGATGTTTTCCGCCACTTCTGGAGCTGTTCGGGCTGGTGCTCGACGAGTCGCTCCCCGCGTCGCTCGCGCCAATGTCAAGACTGCCGCTCCGACTACGCTCCGATCCATCAACGCCAACCGAGCCCTCTCTACCACCAGGGCCCTCGCCTCTTTGCCTGGCCGCGATAGGACTCGGGAGATTGTTGCGCAGACCATCAACAGCATTGGTAGCAGGCGGGAGGGTGAGCAGTATCTGAAGCTCTTCACCTCGGTTGAGTCCCAGAAGTTCGCCGTTATCAAGGTTGGCGGTGCCATTCTTTCCGAATACTTGGACGAGCTTTGTCGCTCGCTGGTTTTTCTTTCCGAAATTAACCTTTATCCCGTAATCGTTCACGGGGGTGGTCCTCAACTCAATAATCTTCTGGAGTCGGCTGGTGTTGAGCCCCAGTTCGAAGAAGGTATCCGAGTTACTGACGCTAAGACCTTGGGTATTGCTCGCAAGCTTTTTCTTGAGGAGAACTTGAAGCTTATTGACCGGCTGGATGAGCTTGGTGTTGCGACTCGATCTATTAGCGGTGTTTTTATGGCCGATTATCTTGATAAGGAGAAGTGGCAGTATGTTGGCAAGATCACCAAGGTCAACAAAGAAGCTATTGAGAAGTCCATTGAGGCTGGCTATATCCCTGTCCTTACTTCAATGGCCGAATCTGAAGACGGCCATCTCCTTAATGTCAACGCCGATGTCGCTGCTGCCGAGCTCGCCCGTGCTCTTGAGCCCCTGAAGGTTGTTTATTTGTCAGAAAAGGGTGGGCTGTATGATGGTGATGGCGAGAAGATTTCTACCATCAACTTAGACGCCGAATTCGACCATTTGATGGCTCAGCCTTGGTGTCGATACGGAACGCGACTTAAAATCAAGGAAATCAAAGATTGTTAGTTGGCCAGGTGACGTTATACAGACTCATAGCTGACCATTCCCAGTACTGGATACACTCCCCCGCAGCTCATCTGTTGCTATTATCCATCCTAGCGATTTGCAAAAGGAATTGTTCACTGACTCTGGAGCCGGTACCCTCATTCGCCGGGGAGACAAGATCCAGAGGATTTCCTCTGTCAACGAGATTGAGGATCTTTCCAAGTTCAAGGAGACTCTGGCCCGCGACCGCCAGGGTCTTGATGCTGAAGCCACTGTCGAACGCTTTGTCGATCATCTCAAGGAGAAGAACTTCAATGCCTACTACGACGATGGAATGCAGTGCTTAGCTGTTGTCCTGCCTGCCAGTGAGGAGCGACCCATTGCTACACTGGCGACTTTGAACATCACCAAGGCCGGATGGCTCAGCAACATCGCTGAGAACGTCTTCGCTGCCATTAAGAAGGATCACCCTAGCCTGGTCTGGACTGTCAGCGAGGAAGATGAGAACCTAACCTGGTTCTTCGAGAAGGCCGACGGAACCTTCAACAGGAACGGCAACGTTCTTTTCTACTATGGCTGCGACCTCCGATCCGACGCTCTGGTCCCTGTCTACGAGGAGTTCAAGGCCCATGGCCGTGCTATGTTCGGTGACAACCTTGAATCTCGACTTCGAGATGCTGCCAAGACCACCAGCGAGACCTTGAACGCTTCTCAGAGCCGAACTTGATCAAGCTTCCTAAAGTATCTAGCTGCTAATCTTGCAATATCTCACGATAACAATTCCCAATATAATACAAAACAGTTAAACATTTCACCTTCACACCCTCATTGACGTAAGCCTTCTTTTTTATTGTGTAGCTTACAACAGGAGCGAGAGAGGAATAAGCGTTGTACCCCTGAGTCAGAAGGGCTGGCAAAGAGGTATAAAGCACCACACAAAACCAAACTGGTCTAGTCCTGTGATCAGGAGTCTTTGTGGAGACAGCGAGTTTTGATGCTTGCTTTTGAGGGTTGTCTGGAGTCATTTGAGAGCTGTCTAGACTCTCGTTCCTGAAATAGCTGCCACAAACCAACAGTTGCAATCACAGGCTGTTTTCATGATTGCTAGATACTCCCAACTCTCGCATCAAATACAGACTCGAAGCAGGACGCCTTCTGGACTATGTAGGGAACATGAAGTAAAGAAAATCACCCAATGGTGCCCTCTAAGCATAGCAATGACAAAGAGAGTGAGCATCGGGGATGGGTACCAGGCCAGATGAGTGATAGAAGGGGCTGGTGTGGTTCTACCGTCACTCTGTAAGTCACCAGTTCAAGTCAAATTTCACCAACAAGGAAGAGATGCAGCTGTCGAAATGGTCCCTTCGCAGATATTTATGAGGCTGTGGTGAATTGAGAATGAAGGCTTCCGAGCAGGGAGGGAGGGTGTACAGGCACATAAGCAGAAGCTCACAGACCGGAACATTGTGCATACTTTGAGCGAAAGGAACTGTTGAGGCAGACATATCAGTCATCGGGTTTCTGTGATGTGAATGATACATGTCGTAGCTTAATTCTTTTTGGTTTTGGAAATTATCGAGGTAGCAGATTGTAAGTCGAAGTTGTTAAGAGTGAGTACTCGTCCAGGCTGGGTAATGGTGATTCGGCCAACTCCGCCGCAGTAGCATCTGTAAGTCCAGAACCTCTAAACGATAGTATGAACAATAGTTTTGTCAACATCGAACTTCCACTTGCTTTTTATCACTGGCTCCAAGTTCAAGATCATCTAACACTCTTTCATCCTGTTAAGCTGGCCACTCAAGGATGAAGCCAACATTGAGAAATTGTGTTATGAAGAAACTATTCCTGTAGCAGCGAAACAATATGTATCAGAATTAGATTATTGGAGTACAGAGGCGTTTCAGGAGTCATCGTTTTTTATAAAGCCCCCTGGGCTGGTAAGGTATCCTGTTGGGTTGGCAACTGGCGGCAGCTGGCAGTGTTTGAGTCTTGCAACAGCCACTCGCCCAGCGTTCATTGTTGATGCAGGATGAATAGATGAATGGATTTCACAATAGCATTTTCAGTTCTATTGTTGCAAGCTCATAAACATCAACGGCTGGCTACCGTGCATAAATAACCCGATTTACACCTACTCACCGCAACGCGCATCCTCTTGGATCTTCCACCAGCTTTCTCCCACTTGACCTCTTAAGTTACTTCATCAGAGCGAGGTCTTTCTCATCCATAAGTTTCTTTAAACTCTCTTCCACTACCAACATCGGCCTCAGGTCGCCGAAGGATAGCACCATGCCTGTTGTGAATCCCACAGCCACTTCCCTGCCGGAGGAACCCCAGACATCTGAGTCTCGGCCTATGAGCCGTCTCGAAATAGGCCTTATTGTTGGAGTCACCGTTGTCTTCGTCACCTTGATCTTTTTCATCTTCCTCGTCCGAGCCCTGGACCACCGTCGTCGCAAAAGGCTGCTGAGGAGAATGGCCGAAGATGCCAGAAACCGTACTCCCGAAGAGGAGATATTGTGCCGCCGGCTGGCATGGCTACAAATTGAGCGTGAGTCAAAGCAAATGGCATGATACAAGAGAAAGCTTCTAATGAACATGTTGACAGGCATCACACAAAGCCTGCGTTGCGTGTGGGTGGATAAAGACAACAATCCAACAGATCCACCCCCCGAAGTCGTGGAATTTCACCGACGCAAGGGTCGTATCCCGTACCAGCAGCCGCACATGCCGCCAGAGCCACAGTCGAAGGATGCGAACTAATATCCATGTCCAATGCCGGTTGATTCAAACTTGTATCATCCATCCATCCACCGCAAAATGCGAACGTGGCAAAGCAGTCGAGATGTGACAAGACATGGATATGGAATACAAAACGGGCGTAGTTGGTTGCAACCGACGTGGTATCGAGCGTACACACAAGAACGTTGCCTTCGAGTAAGGATTGGGTTGCTTGCAGTGCTCCGCAGGTTATATCAAGGCAAGGACACGGCTATGCACAACTCTATATGCGGTACGGATTCTTGCAGGGAGATAACGACACGGAACGGGTAGTCTAGACCAGCGTCAGCCCGGGTTCCACATCGATGATCGACAATGCATAGTCATGTTTCGAGGCAGTATCCATTTTGGAAGGGAAGCACTAGGTTGTATCAGCCTATTATGGAGGCTAATGTCAGATAGTAATCAACGCCTTTGCATAACATGCCATTCTCTTATTCTTTTATACCAAGTGAAGGAGATTGAAGATGATTGTTTGCAAAAAATACCCACTAAGCTAAACAGAAGTGCTTGATTTTATTGTACCGAGGTTGGACCTGCCAAACCCAAACCACCTCTACCTAGAGCTCCATGGCGCGTCGTTATACATGTCACGTGATCACCTGTCAAGAAAGCTAACCCACAAGCCTTCCTACCGCCACATTCCGCGTTTCATGCCAATTCCTTCAACTTCAACACGTGGTACCAAACATAATTTTGAGCTGAGGCCACCTCCGCCCTTGGTATCGTAATGGCTTCGCAATCGCCATCTCGCGGCCGTTACAGGTCGCGCACGCGCTCACCTACTGCACGCTCTGATCGTTCCCGTTCACCCCAGCGCCGCCATCATCACGACTCGCGATCACCTGCCCGCTCCGCATCACCTCAGCGCCGTAATAGCCGTTACAGATCTCGCAGCCGCAGTCGGAGCCGTAGTAAGAGTCGGAGTCGAAGCCGCAGTCGCAGTCGCAGTTGGAGCCGTGGGGCTCGCGAGCGCAACGACAGAGATAGGAGTGCTTCCCCAGCCGCCAAGAGCACAAAGGTATGTCTTGAATTGTCATGGCCAAGTTATGAAACTGACTTGGTATGCCTAGATCGTAGTAGAGCGCCTATCTAAAAACATGAATGAGCAACACCTTTATGAGATCTTTGGACAGTTTGGGCGCATCAAGGATCTTGATCTTCCCATCAACAGAACTTGTAAGATCAACGTCTCTCAGTTCTTTGGACATCAGCTAATGCGAGTCAAAGTTGGAACAAACCGTGGCACAGCATACATACTTTACGACTACGAGGACGATGCCGAGGCCGCGATAGCCCACATGCATGAGGCTCAGGTGGATGGCTCCGCGATCAATGTGTCCATAGTGCTTCCCCGTCGCAAACTTTCTCCTGCGCCTCCAACGGCTCGGCGTGGAGCCAACATTGATCCCAGAGTTCCGTTTGCAGGAGCGCGTGGGGGACCCCCTGGTGTGGGCATGGGAGGAAATAATAGCATGGGTGGTGGAGGTCGCCGTCGAGCATCTCCAGGAAGTCGTTACGGACCCAGGTCTGATGTGTATCGTCCAGGATCGCGTTCGCCTTCCAGATCATCGGCTGGCCCCCCTCCTTCCCGTGGTGGTGGTGGAAGCCGATATCGCAGTCGATCCAACAACTCTTTTTCATCTAGATCACGCTCAAGATCTCCAGGTCCCAGGCGAAAACCAGCCGGCCGCCACGATGATCACGAGACAAGACGACGCGGGAGCATTGATAGTCACGAAGGTCGAAGTCGATCTCGCAGTCGAGGACGCGGTCCAAAATGATTCACGAGTTCAAGGTGTAATTAATTTGCTTCCATTGGCGTTACGAAAGGATAGGAAAAGGAACAGAATAAAGAACGGCCCCAGGTTTTAATTAGCTCTCGGAGACAAGTTAGTCACTTGTATCTGTCTCCCATTTGGCAAACTGACATCTGACCAGATCAAGATGTACGCATAACCATGTTCGGCAAAGACGCCTGTTGAGAACTCTCAAGGATCCCCCCTATCATCTTTTTGGATCAGTCCGGAGATTCGCTCCGTTCTGTTACGGCCAATCACTCGCCCATTATCCGATTTATCTATCAATGTCCCAGTTCAATTTACGTGATCTCGTTTTGGTTTCGGCGTTTCAGGGCATTTGCCGCGGACGGGGCCAGCAGGGATTGCCCCCGATGCCTTTCCATGGATATGCACAAGTCACATATTTCGGAACTGGGAAGTGGAGGATAGACTTTGAGTGCTACTGCTGCAGCCACTATTTTCGAACGTATATCGACCATTCAGGGACTAGTCACTGGTCACTAGATCCCATCTACCATTTGTCACGATTCACACTCTCCCCGCTCGACTAAGGGGAGCTGGTGTGGGGACATGATAGACCCCATGCTTAGTGGACTAAGTCTTGGCGCAACTCAACCCTTCATGATAGTTTGATCAAACCAACACTCCATTATGCACCGAAGCACGGCAACAGTGGGATGGTTTGAGTGGCACTGCACATACACAAGCAACGTGGTCTATCAAGCCAAGACAGCCTGAGACCAGGTCGGGGTCTTAGTCTTAGCCTCAGCGTCTTCCACCCAAAACGGTGGCTTCTCCTATAGGGCTGAGGAGAGGCCGATCCTACGATGCCGCCCTTGCAAGCAAGATCCATGAATTGCGAACAACAAGGGTATTACTTTGGCCTTGAGCTTGGCTCGGGTCACCGTTTGAAGAGGGGCCGCTGTCAGACTGCACCACTCGCCATACGACAGTCTGACATGCCCTCCTGGACAGCCAAGTCGTGGCTCAGCTGTCAAAGCGAGCTCGGTTTAAACATGGACCGAGCACATAGAGCGCAGATGTTTTGACACATAGCAGATCTGGCACCATCACGGGTGTCTTAACAGCCAGGATGTACACACGTTCTCTCACACCATGCATATCGGTACAGTACTGGATAATCTGTGCGTCACCGTGGTGACATCGCATCTAGGGTACAGTACATATCCCCTTGCGGGTTTTGTGACGAGATCCCATTCTGCACTGGCGTAAATCGAAGCTGTGGCAGCTATAAGCACAGCCGCACATCACATCACTCTCGGCGGCTATACTAGCATCATATATTCACCGTCAAGAGCATATCATACCAGCATGTGATCCACTTACATGGCGCCAATTACGAGATCCCTGGGCAGGGTACGGGTAAAGGCGCTGGCGGCTAGTCAATCCAGGAGATTTTTCCCTAATCAGCTGGAAGCCTATAAAGGCAAGATTCTGAGGCCCGATGTACAACACCTCGGCTCGTGCTCGGGTGTCGAGCCCCCTTTCTCACATTACTGCTTTGGGAGCCTTGCATATTCAGCATGGTACGACAGAGGAGGTGGTGTGTGGCGCATCGTGTCTGTTTCGGGGACCATGGCAAGAGCCTGGAGAGCCTAGTAGACGGGCAGCTGTCATAGGTCTGTATTCGAGTTTGGCAGCTGTCTCTGACATGGATACCGTGCGCGTTGCAGGGTTCAAGTCGGTTGTGCTACCGAGGACTTATGGTCCGGCTGCGTTTCCTGTCTGATCACTCAGGTAATCTTTACCTTTGGGGTCCCCTTGGCAGCCACATTGGGACCCCACCGATCTCTTTAGGATGCTGGGTGTTCCTTTTGAGTTGACGCTATCATACACGGCAAGCTGGTTTCAGCTTGTATGAACCACGGCAGGTATAATGAGCCCAGAGTCTAATAGCAACTTTACGCACATCATTAATGCCCCGGCACGCCTTCTTGGTACTTTTCCTTGGGTCTCCTCGTTATCTCCTCATACATAGGATCTTCCCCGCGACCGCCTACTGCCTCAACCCTGCTATGAAGAGCATTCTCCAGAAATATGAATAATGGCTAATGCTGTGGATTCTGATTGAGGCTCAAATCGCCGATGAGAATATCGGTGGCTGTGCCATGGTCATACCGGTACTTATTAGCGCATATTCAAATATCTACTTGCCTTACTCGGTCTCCGGGCCCTGGACTGGCTGGACCCTACCCAGATGCGTGGACTCTGCTCATCTGGGCAACATGTTCGTCGTGCATATTCAATCCCCCCTCACTGGTATGGCCACCTGATGGGCTCGGCGCGGACGATGCGTTGCTGTGAGGCACGATGTTGGACACGACGATGGTGATCCTTTGAGAAACAGCGAGAAAGCCACCGGGTTTGAAGGCCTGATCCTTGGGCGCGGGTGCGGGTCTAGATGCCGTCGACTACACCTTGCGCAGCTGATCGTGTAGGTAAACGTGGATATCTATCGTGAACCACCTTACCCATTGATCTGACGAGTATCCTACCCACCTGGCCAAGGTTGATGATGTGCCATGTCGTCCAAGGGCGAAACGTGAGCCTCATTAAGAGGATCGGTGTCGCACCGACTATCTGGAGATACTGGGGGGCGGTAGTAATGTCGAAGAATAGTATAACATAAACCACAAGCCTAAAACAAGACTATCCATCGGATACCTTTTACCACTTCGACTAGTGTCTCTAGAGGACCAGGACCCAGTGTGTCCTCTGTTTCTCTATTTCTTGTCCTGATGTCTCTGGAGTTATAGCCTTTACAATTCTCTCACATGTCTATGATGCCTCACACTCATACTCACCTCTACCTTTACCTTTACCTTCACCTTCACACTCTTTGTGTGGCTCACTGCCCGATGTCTCTCGAATCACAAGATCCAGACCCTCCGCCAACACCTCCAGGAGGGCCGCGTGTCCCTCCTCCTCAGCCAGACCCGCCGCCGTCTCCTCCTCATACATGGAAACTGTTATGACCTCTGAGCATTTCTGCTTGTAATCTTTGTTATCTTGTTCCAGAGTTTCTTTGTTGATCAAGCCTCTTTCAGCTGTCTTGGAGTGACTAGGGTTCTGCTTTTCTCGAAGCCAAGATCGACCTCCAAGAAGAAGGGTCCCCTGTTCCGCCACCCGGAGTTCATGTCTTGGGCCGCAGATCGACCTCATGTAGGGCAGTTACCATAAAGGACAAGAGGCGGGAGAGGGAGTTTGCGCCAAGCATCATGTCACTTATGATACTGCAGCAAGTCCGGAATCTCATGCTTCTTCGCATCTCGTGGGGCGATCATACCAGGATTCGACATATGGCCCGAAGCAAGACTTTGGACCGAACAGGCGGGAAATACGGGAGTGATGGATAAGCCACAAACTGACAGCGTTTATGGTGTGGGTTGCGAGATGTGCATCATTTCAAATGGGGGTGGGATGGGAGTGGGAGTTTTGCCTAGGACAGACGGCCCAGTTCGTTACGGTACAGTACAATACAATACAATACGGTCCGGTGCATTACGGAACGTACGGTATCGGTCACGGATGCTCTGGAGGACTCTGTCAGAAGTGATACAGAAAGCTGACTGGGGTGTTGGTTTGGATGAATCTGGCAGAGCAGCAATCCGATAATGCGGCTTGGCGCATGAACGACACACACAGAGAGAATGGCATGTCATTATTGTGCTTTTGAGGCCTCTGTCTTTTACGGGTCATGAATGAAGGACTGAGCGAGCGAGTGAGGGAATGGTCCTGATTACCATGATTCTCTTTCTGGTGGGGGGTTGCCAGGTACTGGTTCCGATTCCGTTCCGTACCCATTCATAGTGGGCAACGATACTGGTTCATGTTCCTTTCCGCCTCCTGATTCTCTTTGGTTGAAACCGTTTCAATCGTCGCCGAACTAAAGCTTGTTAGTCAAGTGAGGCAAGGCAAGGCAAGGTATCTTAGTCAATTAGTCGCCGAGCGGCATATCACAAAGGCAGACCTATAGCGGGTCTATCGCGTTTATTTATCCCGTCTTGACTTTACATGCATGGCCTGTCGTCCGTCTATTCGGTGTATCTTATTATTGCCTCCTGTAACTGTGGATTTACTGTACCTGTACCCTATTTGTGATAACGAATGAGTCGGTCGCCAAGGAATGGATACTGGTTACGAAACATTTACGCGGTCTGAGCCTGTTTTTTTCCCTTCTGATCTACATTACAAATTTTCTCTCATTGTATCTCCGGGGCAATTGAATGAGTCGCCTCAGTAATAACATGATACAGCCAAGCCTTTACCTACTTACACCTGTGCTAGCTCAGCCCAGTCTCCCAAGGTCCACATACAACACAACACTTCACTTACAGGCAAAGATACGACAACCTTGTCAATCAAACGCGCCACCCGTTCTATTCCCCCTAGTCACAGATTCTCGGGCTTTACCTAATAAGGTTGTCGGCCGAGACTGGCCTTTCCAATTCTACCCCACGAACCAGGCGAGCGATTCTGCCCGGGTTGCTTTTGCTGGGGTTTGAATTGCTTACCCTAGACCTTTAAGCGGCATATTCCGTGCGCTATGACAATTCGCTGTTTCATGAACCAAAAACTTGTATTTTGTATGCTGAATATGGCAAGTCGTGGTGCCATTTACTACCTACTGACTACTGTAGATGGCAAGGATTACCTTCGTGGCAATCATAATTGCATGCATAACACCCGCGGACTTCAACGGATCTAGATCTCTCCGTGTATCGACAGTAGACTAAAAAAAAACTTCACCAATCACTTTACACGCCTAGAGGATAATGATATCCGTTGAGGTTAAAGCCTCACCCGAACTACAAGACTAACCATCCATGTCATCGGAAAGATTTAATTGACGCGGAGTTAATGAGAAGTCCGGACGACGACTGCCATGACTGTTTCGCCAAGAACTTTGGTCCACGTTGATCAAACACTGCTTGACTAAAAACCAGATTTGTGGGCTCTCAGGGAACATATTGGCAAAAGCAGGACGTTTGCTTCCTGTCGGGGTATTGATCGAGAGATAGAGAGATCTAAACTATTGCAGAGACAACCGACCCAAAACACCAAAGCTCAAGAAAACAAACACAAGACAAGGGGACCGGAGGAACACCAACTCTTATTACAAGAGCGCCATTCCCGCACCCATACCCATGATACCCAGTGCAGCGCGGGCAACATGTGCTGTGGCCCGAGGAGCGGCCACTCCCCTGCTCGACCTTGTGGTGAACCACGGTGTTGCCACAGCATTGTTCTCAGCTTGGTCTGCCGGTGTAGGTGTTGGTGTGTCTGTCACCGGACAGCTCGCGGTACAAGGAATATCCGAGTCAAAGACATCGTCAACTCCAGCAGACTTGAACACAGGATTTTGAAGCCAGAGACTAGGATTAGGAGCAGCATCGGCCTCCTTTGGGTTATTGACATTGGAGATGATGTGAAGGATACCATTGGAAATGAGAAGGTCGGTTGTGATGATCTTGGCTGAATTTACGAACTTCTCATTGCCGATTTGGCGCACGTGGACCTCTTCACCAGTCAATGTGGTGAGAGACGTGGCGTTGTCAAGGTCGGTCGAGACCAGAACCTTGCCGGGTACAATGTGATACCCCATGACGCCCGCCAGCTCCTTGGTCGACATGCCGCTGAGTGCGCTGCCAACCATCTCCATAGCTTGGTCTCTTGGAGCAAAGACAGTGATGTCCTGGCGACCAGCAAGATCAGGCATGAGGCCAGCTCTAAAGAGTCCACCGAGGAACGAGTCGACCTTGCTTGCCATCAGGACTTGACGAATACCAGAAGGCGGAATCAACAGACTGTCCACAATCTGGATGAGTCCGCCTTGAAACTTGATATCGTAATTGATCACTGTAGCTCGATTGCCCAGCCGGGTACTGAAGATGACATCGTCAGGTTGTTTGTTGATGAGGATGTTCTGACCAGCAGTGACATTACTCCATTTAGGATTGAGAAGAAGGGTAGGCTTAACGTATGCAGGTCCCTCCTTCAGCTTCATTGTGCTTATGGTGCCCTGCAAGATGTGGTACTGAAGAAGCGGGACAGTGACCTTGGCATCGTTCGGGTCCCAAATATTGGAGAGAGGAGAGTAAGGGATTTGATTGAAAGCATCATTGGAAGGGGCAACAATCTACGAAATATCAGAAATCAGTCGCTGTTCCTGAGGTTCGGAGGACCAGATTCAACTTACCGTGACACCCTCATAACTGGGCAGTTGCAACAGGACATCGGGGAATTTCTGACAACGTCAGCGATAACACTCGTTAACTCAAAGAGCAATACATTTCATACCTGGATCAGCTTGTAGTATGTTGAAAGCTTGGGGTGCCTTGACAGAACACTGCCCAGGTCCATGGGTAGAGGTTGAGGGGCATCATCAGCTACTGCCAACGATACTAGGCTGGCAAGGCCTGCAAATACTTTAAACAGGAGCATTGTGTAACTGTTTATTGGAAAATGAATGTGATGGAGGAACCTGGGAAGATGAGTTTGTAATGATAGGCAAGCAGCCTATGGACTATCTGGTCTGCAACTTCAAGAAGGCGTGTGCCTTGGTAAGACAGTCTTGTAGTCTCTGGTGCAGAAGTCAAGATAAAAAAAAGAGTTCAGTGAATCTGTTTCAGATAAATGAGTGAAATGTGAAATAGGGAGCGTGGTCAACACGGTAAAGGAGCGAAATCCATCCAGGAACGATGGGAAGAAATGCAGAAACCCGGAACCGAAAGAACGGTCATCCAACAGGGCTTAATAAGGTCCCTCTAAGAGGCGAGACTCAGACATCCTCTACGGATATCCCGCCGGTCATAGGAATTTTGGATACTAATTAGAGCCGGGTAACGCTTATGGTGAGGGACGCTACCAGTAGCCTCACCAAGAGAACTTCCAGAACTCCAGCGCCTCACGAGTGAAACCCAAAAACATCGCCAAGCCTCTGGGCTCATGGAGGGCCATTGCTATGCGGTACGGTACTTGGAAGTGTTGTAGCATCTGTCAGATCGGCGGGCATGCCGAAATCCGACCCCTGGACCCTGCTAAGAACCCTGCATTGCAGGGATGTCGTTAGTGGCCCAGATCTCCGGATTTGGACTGACAACCATGAACGAGCCACTATTTCATCCAATAACATGAACCCGTGTTCACTTGAACATGATCAGATATCAAACAAAGTATGGGCATGGAAGATGTTCTGAGATCATCTCTTGGGGCCGAGACACTTTGTTTGTCGAGGGACATGGATATTTTTGGAACGCTCATCCCGAGTAGCCATCACAACCAATGCGCCTTGGCATTGTTGGATCTTGTATTCCAAGACTTTCTGGGCCCGAGTGACAGGATGTAAACTTCATGAGGCTTATCGTATTGCTTCCCAACACTGTAGGAGAGGAGGAAACCACTTGGGATAGACAGTTGTGTGGTCAGAGACGAGACACGCCGTCATATAGCTGTGCAAGGAAGCGTCGAACGCTGGCCTTGTGTAAGTATCTGAGCATCCTCAGCTAGTTGATTACTTGAATCTGAACCATATGTTTTTGTTCAAATATGTCCGATGTACACGAAAAGCGCCCGAAGACGCCATCCGCTTCAGCTTCGTTGGCACTGGTACAGTCTCCAAACCGGTGGTACTCAACCAAGGGCGATTTGATTTGATTTTCAATTTGACCATGTCCAGCTCAATCCGGAATTCCTCTTAGCAAAGTAGGATGGCCCTTGTGGCGTTATCATCCAGTAGAGCTATCGGTACCGAGTATGCGGTACGGACACTCCACGTTTTCCGCTGAAAGGGACAGGCAATTTGCCAGGTAGGCAATTGTCATATCATTGTCAATGGTGTTTCAGTTATCCATAACCTCAGGATTAGAACGAAGCACACACGGCTGCCGTACGGCAAGCTTTCTCGAGGTCACTATTGATAGAGTTTGCATCGAGCCGTAGGGTTAGAGCACCAGACCTAAGCACGTCTGGCCATGAGTGTACCGAGGTCAATGGATGTTTGCTGAATGGCCAGATGATCATAAATCCTGGGTCTGCTAGGTTTTGGGGCGTGCAAGTGGAATGGGGTTTGAAGTTGCACCGAGCGTTGACTTAGACGGTGGTTCCTGATCACCATACATTGTTGGTAAGTGGAAACAGAGTTGAGGAGCTCGCATAAGCGGGAGGGGTGTGAGGTTTGTCTCAGCCATGGCAAGTTTGTTCTCACGAGTCACTCGTTGCCGTTCTACCGTGCTCGCTGGAGCTATAACGCCAGGTCGAACGGGAAGTCGGGAGAGGCGGATGATCCATGGGCACTATTAGGTATCATTGATCATCTGAAGGTATCGTCGGATAAACCGGAAGATGGTCTTAATGGGCAACCTTTGTCCAAAGAAACGGCGATGTGTTCATACAATTGGGGGTAGTGGAATCTCACCAGATCACGCTTCGGTTCCTGCATAGGCCAGATCTAAAACCCAAAGAAGGTTCTATTGTTCCAGCCATCGAGATAGTGCACACTCAAATTTGGCCTAAAAAAGTTTGTTGTCCGGTTGCGAGAGAAGGCTCAAGACGGCGATGACCACGCTGAGGATGATGGTGATGGTAAAGAGAATGGAATGTAGTGACCATAGTCGGTGGAGCTAATATAAGTTGACGTACAGTGCTAGCGAAGCGCCACACAATAACGATATCAGTATATATCACACAGTGCCAACCTCCTAAACACTGTATCTATACCTAATCCGATCGACTTACAATCCATCTCATCCCGTTCTTAGCAGCTCGTCTTTGTCTTGCCAAGCAGTCAGCGGATCAGCCTCGTTCTTGATCAATCAGACGTTCTCCATCCAGTGATGGCTTCATCATGTTCAGCTTGACTGGGCCTAGCCTTTCCTCTTCTCAGTGCCACAATTCTCTATCATCCGCCAGATCTTCCCCCTTGGCCAATGAATTTCGATACACGATCCCATTGTGCGATTTCTGACATGAAAGAAAAATCGTATTTGGCTTTCTCCTTGACTAGCTATTCATTCCTTACCTTATATTGGTTCCTGGCTAGCCCAACTCGCCATGGATCATGAATGTCACTATGGTGTCGAATCTTATCACAAGACTTCTCCCTTCTAAACAAATCCAGCCTCTTCAGTTTCATTCACTTGAATCTCATTTCTTACCTGCTTGTTTGAAATGAATAACCCATATCGAAAAAGTAGTTACGGCGGGCACGACGGCCCTGGCCCGACTGATGTGTCACGAAGGTCTCTGGACGCCAGTGGCCCTCATGAGGCAACCTCAACAGGATACCGCCACAGCATCGACCCTGGACGAGGCTCAGGCTCAGGCGGTCACGGCGGCATGTTCAGTATTCCAGAGTACTCGAGTCCTGCCTCAGAGTCTGAATCTACATCTGGCTCAGGAACTCATGTCGACGAGCGAAACCGATACTTTCACTCAAGGAGAGTGAAGCCGGGAGAGGTTGAGAAACCGTGGCTGGAAAAGACCAACCCCAAAGAAAAATGGGTGACCATCCTTCCCATCCTTGCAATCTTCCTCGGTCTCGTGGGCTCTGGCTTTCTTGTCTGGGATGGCATTCGAAGTGTGGTCAAGAACAAGTATTGTCTTGTCATGGATGAGGACTTCAGCCAAGGTCTGAATCCCAACATTTGGACCAAGGAAGTCGAAGTTGGCGGCTATGGGTATGTTCAATCAGAATATTTCTTCTTCGCTTAGACGGCTAACTCTCATAGAAATGGTCAATTCGAGCAGACAACAAACACAGACGAAAACGTCTATGTCGAAGATGGCAAACTCATCATCAAGGCAACTTTGCAGGACCCCAAGTTAATGCAGAAGAACAACGTCATCAACCTTCTCAAGGCCGGCACTTGCACCTCTAAAGTCTGGTCGAACTGTGTTACCGCCACCAACTTGACTGCTGGAAATAACAGTGTGGTTCCTCCCGCGCGATCTGGTCGTATCAATACCAAGAAGGGTGCCAACATCAAGTATGGCCGTATCGAGGTCACCGCCAAGCTCCCTGAAGGTGACTGGCTCTGGCCCGCTATCTGGATGCTTCCAAGACAGAGTGTCTACGGTGCTTGGCCGAGATCTGGTGAGATCGACATCATTGAATCACGCGGAAATAATTGGACGTACAAACAGGGAGGAAACGACATCGTTTCCTCGGCACTACACTGGGGTCCCAACTCTGCCAACGATGGCTGGTGGAAGACAAACAACAAGCGGAAGGCCCTTCACACCACCTATAGCGCTGGCTTCAACATGTTTGGCCTGGAGTGGTCTGAAAAGTACCTCTTCACTTATGTTAACACCCGACTCCTCCAAGTCACATACACCAACTTCAAGAAGCCCATGTATAAACGAGGAGGGTTTCCCGATGTGGATCAGAATGGTACCCGACTCGTCGATCCATGGACTATCTCACCTAATGTGAATGCGCCATTCGATCAGGAGTTTTACCTCATCCTCAATGTCGCTGTTGGCGGCACAAACGGGTGGTTCGAGGACGGTAAGTCGGACAAACCTTGGTACGATGCTTCACCAACGGCTAAAAAGGACTTTTGGGATGCAAGAGAGCAGTGGTATCCAACTTGGACACAACCGCAGCTTGAAGTAAGCCGAGTAGTCATGATGCAACAGTGCAATGGCAATGAGGATCTATGAAATTGAGAACAAAGTAATGAGTAGTGATACTGGTAAGAATATTGTTTGATGAGAAGGATTTAGGTTGAAGATATCAATTTTGAGGCTCGTTTTCTCGTACAAATCTTTAGATTTGTAGACTTTTAATAGAGTTGAATTCAAACGAAAAGACATCATGCAAGTTTCATCATTGCTTCGCCCTGCAACACATAGTCAATATGCATGTCTCACAATATATTTGACTCTATAGTTACAGCATTTAGATAGCAAGATTCAAGTATATTGTTTCTAAAATTCTCGTCCCTTGCACTGCCGTTGTGATAACTAACACTATGTATCAACAGTCGGGTTTACAGCCTAGCGTTTAGAAGCTTTTCACGGACCCTCGGAGATCAGGTCATCAAGCTGCCAAACAAGGCAGTTCATGCCCATTGATTCTATGAGTAAGCGGAGAGATACCAAGGCCAGCCATGCCGAGCTTTTCAGATACACAAGCTGTGTAATGAATCACGAGCTACTGAGGCTAGCGACATGTTTGCTTGAGCAGCCCACCCATAGGTAACTGATTCGTATCTGATCTTCTGTTTCCTCACAAACATGACTCAAACATGACGGACTACGATAGCATTGAGAATTCAATATGGCTGACAGTACGATCAAACTTTAATAGAGACGAGTTTATCGCCACAAAGCCTGGTCGTGACTACAACACTAACTCTTCGGCCCGTAGGCTAGGAGCCGTCGAGCTCTGGCCTTCCGACTACGCTCTGCATGGGTGCGTTGAAGCGTCTTGTGCCAAA